GGGGATCGCCGCGGCCTTCAAACCAATCAGTGGAGATCTTGGCGGCGCTGAAACCCTTTGACTCGGGACCAGTGATCGTTGGCACCGAAAGAGCAAGGTTAATCTTCGCATATCACAAGCCCACATTTTCCACTCCCTGAGCACCGTCTGTTCCGTGTGAAATCTCCGAACTCGCATGGGCGGGGACGGGGGTTCGCAGGGAAGCACCGTAAGGGATCGGCCCGCTACGGCCTTACGTCCCGTGGCAGGGGTTGGACAATCTTCACCACGTCTCCGTTTCTAAGGTCACAGTCGGCTGGCATCCACTCGACTCCTCCGGATGGACACACTGAACTAAAGAAACAAAAGCAAAATCTGCCCCTTCACACGGGGTAACTCGACTCCCTTCACACGGGAGGAACACTCTTGGGCTGGAACTCGGCATCAGACCCAAGTGGACGTCCGCTCTACTATGGCGCCCCGGACCCGGCCGGCTTTTCACCCGGGGTCGTCATACACAATAATTGCAACATCCTTGGCACAGCTCTACCAAGGGGTCCCAGACCGTTATGCTGCATAAGCCCATGGCCCGGAAGACACTGAAGAGGTTCCGCCCAGCCAACTGTTAACTCAAAGAAACTCAAATCACGTTGATTAGTAATCTTAACCGGAGAGTAACTCTCCCACTATGCACTGTGCTAAACACTGATTATTCAACTATGAAATTTACTTCTTACAATGGTTTTATATCTTAGCATTGCCTACACTGGCTAGAGAAATTTAAAGAGGTCCCTAACTCCCTCTGAAAGACTCACTATGCCGACCTTGTCTATCCATAGCCAACATAGCTCGCCGGCGTGCATAACATTATTTCCTTAAAAACCGCCCTCCTGTACAGTCTTTAAACTTTAGATAAATGCGGTTAAATCTCTCCCCCCATATACTATCGTAACAACTTATCTTGCGTACACTGAAATCCTTCCCCCATATACTAGTGTAACACTGAACACTGATTCTATTAGCAGATAACTCAAAACAAGGACCTAGCGTTAAGTTACGCTGTAGTTAAACTAAGCTTAATTATAAGTGATAAATATGACCCTACGACGTTATCCCTAAAACAACCCACATGACGTTGTCCCTAAAAGACAACATAACTTAACTATGACTGGAATGACGTGGTCACTAGATGACAACATGGAATGACTGACGTTGTCATTGACGACAACATGACGTTGTCCCTAAAAGACAACATAACTTAACTATGACGGGATTGACGCGGTCATTATATGACAACATGGAATTACTAACGTTACAATATGTAATAATAATATAATCTGAGGACCATCAAATAAACAGGATTTAATAGTCTTGGTTATAACCAATTGAAATAATGCAAAAGTTTTTTTTAGAATAAAATGTATTGTTATGAAGACACTACTATAGTAACAAGTCTTTTTCAAGGGGTGTTTTCTGTGACGTTTATAAAGGATAACTTCAAACAAAACATTTAGTTGTTGCAAATCATTGCCAAAACTGTTTTAAAATATGTACAACACTGTTGAGACCTCATCTCCATTTACAAATTCCTAAAATCTTGGTAGAATGGTTGCTTCAAGGTAGATGACACATGTTCATTAATTCCAAAAAAAATTGCAGTGTTTGTTTCCAGGTGGTATCCAGTGCCTATGGTGACAGTCATTTTTTTCCGATTCCTGTAAGGGCATGCACTATACAGTAGTTACAAAAGAGGTAGCAGTACATTCTAAACCATGTCATTAATGCAGTTCTTAGAAGTTAACGAACAATTCTCTTGCCCTATACATGTGTTAAAAGTCTCAAATGTTCTAGAAGGAAGTTTTCCAGAGCAACATTATTCTCTCAATACACGAAAACAACTTACAATCTACAAGCAATACAAATAATTGATAGTACATGTACAGGGGTGGATCCAGAGATATTTTCTGACAGTCTTCCAAATAATCTTTGTTGATCCATCCTCCAATTTTGACCGTCTTCTGACAGAAGAAATTAAATACCCATTAATGTAAACTTGAAAATCTGACCATCTTCCGGAAGACCCAGAAGACGGCGTAAATCCGCCCCTGCATGTAAACACAGACTGACATAAATATCATAGCAAGAACTTAAGCTTATTGCAAAAAAAAACTTTTTCTACTGAATTTCTAAAAATAATTTGAACACCATAGAAATAAAATGCAATTTACTTACGTCAACCTTGCATTCTTTGATCTTGCATCCCTTGAAAGTTTTCTGAGAATACTGCACTTAAATGCAAAATATAGGTTGACAGCTTCTGTTTTTTCTGGTAAGACTAATCTTCCACACTAACATGCCAAAAAGAGTTTTGGCTTGTAGTCATGGTGCAGCACATCAGTTCCTTTTATTGTATTTACCTCAACATTCATGAGGCCTACAAGATGATTCAGCACCTTTGATCCATAGTAATTGTTGCTTTTCTGTCTTAACATAAGATGCAATTTGCAAGATTTCGCTTAAACATTTGCTAAAATTCAAATAATTCATGTTTTTCTTCTTATTATTTATTAATTTATTTGTGTGTGTGTGTGTGTCAATGTTCATATTTCAATAAGAAAACAGCAATACAATGGAAATCAAGTAAAACTGTTAGTAAGACTGTAATGAGAAATAAAAACCGCGTTCTCATGGATCTGCCACAGATGCCACTGCAGACAACTATCTACTTTGATCAATTTTTTACAAAATTGAGTTCCTTCTGCATTTTGTCTGCTTCAGTAGAAAAATACACATTCTGTAAGATTTGAAAAGAATTTTTCCTTAAATAAATCTCTCTGCTTAACACTTACACAGATTGATAAGCGTGAAGTCTGCATATTCCATACCAGAATTCAGTAGCTATAATTTGTAAAAAATTTTCTTTTAAGACCCTCTAGATGTAGTAGAATGGAAACAATACAAAAATATATTGACAAAGTTCAAATATAATGGTTTATTCATATGTTTGTATGTTTACTTTATTGTCCATATATCAACATTTTTCTAAAAAGTACTTCTCAAAGTTATATATATTGTTTCAAACTCACATTTTGTTGAAAGGTGCATAAATAACTGATAAAGCTTCCATAAATATCTACTGTATAATCATTCTTCATGATAAATATACAAATGAAAAGCCACAAAAAAATCAAACATTACTCCCCCCCCCAAAAAAAAAATATATATATATATATATCCCTCACAGAAATAAGTTAGTGCTTTGTGAAATGACAGTCCCATTTTTCTTCTTTTTGTCAAGTTAATCTTTGTCCAGCATTTCTTCTAAGGCCTATAAATACAATATCTCAGTATAAATTCTATGACATTTAAACCTGCTAATTCACTCAGAAAAATCATGAAATGAGATCAACTTTGCTTTTTAATTTCAAGTGCTAACATTTTTCTTATTGTACAAAATACTTGTGAACAAATATAGTGCTAACCTGCAGTGTGTCTTGCCTATCTGCAGTGACCGAGATATTGGGTGGATTGCTCTGTCTTATTGTTTCACAAAACCTGCATGACAAAATAGTAAATCCTTTATCTCAAATATTAATAACAGTGTCTATATCTCTAAAACTTTCTTCATCATAATCATACAAAGGTACTATTGAAATCTACATTATGCTTTGCAATAAAAACATTATATTAAGTCAATTACAATTTAGTTTTTAAAATGTTCTCGTTCAACAGCACCAAGCTCATCAAAGTGTATTAATGGTAGCAGCAACAGATTTATTTCAAACAATTTTCCGGACTGTAAATTGGCTGTGAAACAGGTGGATAAAATTCTCCTGTACTGTAAAGCTAACAATGAGAATTTGACATAAAATAAGCTGCCAGTATTCTTTTTATTTTACTTTATTTAAAATGTTCAGAAGAAATGAGACAAAAAAACTTCGCACCAAAAACAGTGTTTTTCATTTAACTTAAACTTTTTTCATCTGTATGTTCCCCAAAAACAAAAAATTGATTAAAATGAGCAAAAAGTCTACACAGCATGCAATTTTTATTGATATCCTTCATTTTTGTCAGATCAATAGGTTTCACCCAGTCTCTGTCTCAATTAGTGTAAAAGCATTCACCTGTTTGATCTTAACAATGAAGCTTCTTACATCATATCTCTCTTGGGAAAACAAAGTGAAAAGAAAGAAGATAGAGAATGATAAAATATTAATTGTTATGCTCATGACATCAAGGGACTTACTTTTCAATTTGTTCATCTGTCTTGTGAATATCTTTGTTCACTTGAGAAAGCTCCTACAAATAGACAAAAAATTTCAAAGACTTGATAATAAAAAAGAAAATCATATCTGATGCACAAAAAATACTATGGCACTGCATTTGTGAACTCTGTCATTTATTCTAAAGCTTTTGAGTGAAAATAATAACAAATTCCAGAAGCATCATTTTAATAATACTTCAGGCCTTAGACATAAAAGTGAAATCCCAATGAAACTTTATATTTTTTTTAGATATTTGTAACTTTGATACTTTTATTGGCTCTATATATTTAGTTACTTTCACTGACATACTTACAAAAGTGTAATATTTTACTAAATGAGACAAAAGCAATAACAGCAAGTTGGAAAAATTAAAGGAAAAAACCTTTACCAGCTGGAGGTCTAGTTTAACAGTATCTAGGTTTATTAGAGTTGCTTCAATTTCCTTCAACCTCGTATCTTCCCCGTTTACAGGAGTCTATAAGAAAAATAATCAGAAAAGCAATGGTAAATCACATCTTTGTATCCTGGGTTTCAATTTTTCTAAGGAAGACAACTTCCACAAATTAATGTCCATGGGCTCATTCCCAGTGAACTATCATTCTACACACCTTGATCCGAATCTGTGGGGACTCTTGCTGAATGCAATCAGATAAGCACGCCTCTTCTTTTTTCCAACAGACTTGTAAAATTACCAGCTTTTCTGCATTCTACTCGGTGCCAAGAGGCAGCATTTTAATCTGAAAATTTTACATTCAGCGAGACTCTTTGCAGAGTTGGATCAATCTATGGAAAAGGATAGTTTCATCAGGAATGAGCCCTTACATACCTGAAATGTTCTCAATGACAATATAGTGCTTCACTGCTGATAGGATAAGAATATCTTTAACTTCTCAAAATTGCAGTCAAAATATTTGCAGTCTAAATGAAACAGAAGTAACAGGTTCAAATAAAACTTGACAGCATGATGGGACTGTATGGGGTTTTCATTAGTTCCTGATTGAGGGTCACAGTGTCATTTTCATGTCATGATCCCCCGTAACATAGGCATCTTCAGTACTGATCATAAAATGTTGTTCCCAGATAAATGTTCTGGAAAATCTCAGTTAAGTTAAAATGTTAGGTTAAAAAAGTGATGGAAGTTAATTATATATGTGGTGGCAAAAAGTATAAGTTCCAAACATTTCTGTGCACATTCCATTTTGAAATCTATTGAATAAATTTCTTAAGTTTCAAATCTGGTCTAACGTTTCTATTGTAGCATAATTTTGCTTCTGGCAAAACAGCTGGGTCATTTTATTCAAATCCAGATCTTTTGCAAAAGCAATGAAAACTGCAAAAATATTGAAACATTTAGATCATCTTATCCCTAGTTATTGTATTTCTTCATTTGCCAAAAACTGTACTACTGTAAGTCTATCAAGTTGGGGATAAATGGAAACAGTTTAACCATGGAAAAATACCTTTTATAACTGATGTTAATATATATTCTGTAAATGACACTATTAATAATACCTCATCTTCTCCATACTGTTGGTAGATGTTTTTCTTTGTGATACTGTGCAATTTCTTGTGGTGTCGACGAAAGGCTTTGTAAAACTGCCTTAAACTGTCATCATGTCTAAAATGTGAAGCACTATAGTAAGCAACCCAGTCAAAATAAGAGTACAAGCTTATCAAGCACTATATTTCTATGATATTTCATATCGTTATTCATATATTACTATGACATTTCTAATCAATTCATAATACAAGCCTCTGGTTACAAAACTTACAGTACTTAAATAAATACTTCACATACAGTACTTAAATAAATAAGTCATGGATAAAACACATGTGCAAAGAAGCTGTATCTGCATAATATCATTAACTCTTTGCTCTTAAAGAAAAAAAGGAAAAATTATAATTTTGAAAGATAATTATAAGAAACATTAAAATTATATAAAATAATTTACAACTTTATGCCTTTAAAAATTGGCAAACAAAATGTCACTGAAACATGAATGGTTTATTCAAACTCAGATACATGGCTTTCTGTGTACCATATTTCAAGTTCTGAGCCTTTTAGGTGTGGAACCTACTAGTTAGTTACTCAGTAAAATTGTGTCTTGCTCTTTTAAGAATGCATTAGCATGAAATTTCATGTTTTGGCAATGCTATATGATTTCTGATATGTCCAATTTGGTGGTTGCTCTAGCCGACTGTCATTTTACAGTTATGTGCAAATCTATCTTTCATCCATGATGTGATACCAGATAACAAATTACAAAATAGGGGTCTTCGTGATATTAACCTGTGAAACTGTGTAAAAAAATAAAGATTATAGGACAAAATTTGTTTGAAAAACTAAACATATACAATTAATTTCACCTCAGCTTTTCTGTAAAATAACTTTGGAATTCTTGAAACGTCATATCCTTGCCCATGTTATCAGCTAACAGAAATTCCTCCAAAATTGTTGCCGCCATGTTGAGCTTTCTGTACATTTTCAACAAAAGAGCTCCAATGTTTACAAAATTGCAAGACGGATCGATAAAGATTGACATTAAGAAAGAAGGAGTAGAAGTTCCTACATCAAAGTTTCAAAGCTCCAGTAGTTTGGAAACATAGACTGTTGCGTATAGACTGTCATATATTTTTACTTGTTGCAAAGAGAAAAACTAACGATTTTTTAAATAGTTTTTTCTTGGTTGACCCATTTAGTGAAAAAATGGCAGGAACCGGCTATTTTGCTGCAGTGAAAATTGCTGCTGAAAAGCACCCTCGTCTCCGCGAAAAGGTCATTCAATATGGCACAGCAGGATTCCGAACCAAGTAAGAAACAGCAAGATTATTGTTGATGTACTTGTATTGTTTTTCCATAAAAAAATTAGTAGATTGTGCACACCGTTACCTGTGGATTTCACCTACGATAAGTTTTATTGCACCGACATTGCTGACCATGCGCATGTCACATCTTGCAAATTGCATGATGCCAGTCATAAATATCCCATGCTTGTTTGGTGGGCGGTTTCAAGTGTTTAAGAGACTGTTTTATTACATTTACCATTTTGAACTTTGATTGAAATCCGTGGATTAAAGAATTAAATATATCTCTCCGTTGGGTCTGGGTGGGGTGTGGGGGACGCTAATTAATAATTTAATGTGTTCGATCTCACAGCTCACCCAGTGGTGATTTATAAGTAACACATCATGATCGACCAGGGCTGTAACCATCATTTAATATGATGAGTTAAAATAAGAATGTCTTCAGTATTTATATCTGTTAGTTAAAATGAAAACAGCACTTCTCAATATGATATAAAAATACATGTGTATGGTGTCATTGCAGAGGTGAAGAACTTGACCATGTCATGTTCAGAATGGGAGTGTTGGCTGCACTTCGGTCACAACTTAAAAGAGGTAAAGATGCATGTCACATATATGTTTTCTAATGAAACAGAAAACTTTTTTGCCTAAGTTCAGGCATGATAAAAGCACCAGTTTCTTATTTTCATAGCTGTGAAAAATTTTTTACTCATATTAGCATGATGTAACATTATAATTTAATAAGCTTCATGTCTTTTTTTTATTTTCTGATGGACAGAAAACTAGAGAAATAATTGAATATCTTGTGATCAAATTCTTCCTGTGAGCCTGCTGGAGTGTAGTCAATTAACAATGACACATCTTATTTTGTTGTTTTAATGAAATATGATTGATCTGTTTTTCATAAATTATTGCAGCTGTAATTGGAGCTATGATCACAGCATCACATAACCCTGAGGAGGACAATGGAGTCAAGCTGGTGGATCCTCTTGGAGAGATGCTGGAAGCTGCCTGGGAGAAACTGGCCACCAAACTGGCTAATGTCAGGTTAGGGATATCCTTTTTCTTTATCCCTTTTTTCATAGTCTGGTGCAACACTTCATTCTATTTCTGAATTGATAAAGATAACTTACTGTTAAATCTGAATTATTTATTTTCAGAATAAAGAATGCATCCTGTGACATCATAATTATTTTTATAATCTTAAAAAAAAATTCAGTCAATATATCATCAAAAATTCTTAAATGATATTATATGAAACAGAATTTTTTAATACAAGATTATTGTGCATCATTCTATGCATATTTTAGTGATTCTGACCTCCCAGCTGTGCTGTCAGACATAGTCTCCAGTTGTGGCATAGACACAGCTGTTCCTGCACAGGTGTTCCTTGCCAGGGATACTAGGTCAGTGATATATGGCCCATTACTGAGATACAATATTACAAAAAAACTGCTACAAAGTATCAAAGGCTGCTTAAAGACTCACATGACAAATAAAAGAGAATGACAAATAACATTACTGGAAATGCAAGCTATTTTGGTCACTTATAATGTTTTGTTTTTATCTGAAAGAAGATTTTATTATATTAGATAAGCATATCCTATGAAATTATATCTTATCGTTCAAGTGTGTTCTTTAATAATTTCCCTCTGTACCTCAGGCCCAGTAGTCCATCCCTTGCTCAAGCTATAATCGATGGAGTCCAAGCAATAAACGGAGAGATCAAGGACTATGGTCAGTTTTGTCAACTAATGTCCAACTACCTTGTTAATCAAATTGTCATTTTGATATTTTCTGGCCAGAACTTTGGATACTTAAAGATATGATTGTGTCTAGTACTTGTAAGCAGTCCTAATTTCCTTTGCTCAACCATGATGTTTTAATAGAATAGTATGTAAAGTCCAAAAATTTGTACAGGTCAGTATTTAGTTTATGGGTGACAGTTGGAGACAATTATTTGATTTTATTGTTTTGAATACATTTCCAGGTATATTAACCACTCCCCAGCTTCATTTCATGGTTAGATGTGAAAATTCTCAAGGTCAATATGGGAGCCAAACTGAAAATGGCTACTACACAAAACTATCTAATGCTTTTTTGAAACTCAGGGGTCATGTAAGTAACTAATTAGTGATTTTTTAAATTAAAGACTTTTATCACAATAAATAATCATAATTTAAAAATTTAAAAAAAAATGGTAATATGCATGCAATATTTTTTTATCATTTGTGTGATAATTAAATGGGTGGAAAAATCAATATTGGTTTATTTGTAGGAACACCAAAATGAGCGCTATCACCCACAACTCAGGTTAGATGGAGCAAATGGAGTAGGTGCCTTAAAGATTAAAGAAATGCAGAAGCATTTGAACAACTCTTTGCAAATAGAATTGTTCAATGATGGGAGTAGCGGCAAGTTGAATTACATGGTAAATTTGTGTGTTGTTGCGAAACCGAAATTTGAAAGAATATTAAGCAGTATCACAGATAATTTTTTGTCAAGATGCTTGTATTAAAGCTTATTTAATAGCTAACCTTTATGGCATCACCATGTTTTCATTTTTAAATGAATGTTGATATATTTATTATATTCTTGTTTAAAAACTTGTGGTGCTAAATTTTTCATTAATATTTAATTTTTCCAGTGTGGCGCAGATTACGTCAAAGTCCAGCAAACAGCTCCTAATGGTGAGTTAGGTACAGGGGTATCAGACAATGATGAAAGCCTCTTGTCATTATTATATAACCATGTGAATTGTTGTATATTTAGTAATTAATAGTATGTATTAAGCAGGAAAAATGATGGATACAACCAAGTGATATTTGTGTCTTTACCTGTAGTTTGTATATCCAGGTATGCCCAAGGAAGCCAGGGTCAGGTGTGCATCCTTTGATGGTGATGCTGACAGGATAGTTTACTTTTACCAGGAGAAAAGTATGTATCAGCTGTGTGGTATTGTATGGATCTCTTGGTAGTGGTTATGTGAAAGATTGGAAATCCCTCATATGAAGTAAACTTTTTTTTTTCATTTCTGATAGTGCCATTATAATTGGAATACTTGAAAGTTTACATTGTTTACTAATAAATCATTCAAGTGAACCTATAATCATTTATTTGTGTGTGTTGAGAAAGCTTCTATTTATTTTCAGATGGAACATTTAAGCTATTAGATGGCGATAAAATAGCAACTCTAGTAAGTATTATTTGTTATAAATTTATGTTGACACCTGAAAGATCATAATGTTATTATTTGGGTTTTGATCATTGACAGAATACTATCACATTGATAATTAAACTATATTCTCAAAAGGTATCAGTTACATATTTTCTGTGGCTGTCATGTTAAATGAAATGTTTGGACTATATTTTGCTATCATTCATGTTTTTCCTCTTTATTAGCAGGGAGGCGAGATCACTTACACAGATTGTAATGACCAGGTGCCTATTTGTTATATGTATGTAATGCACATAATTGTAAAGTCTACAGAACATATCTGTATGTAATTTAGACTTAAATAAAATATTTTTATTATATTATTTAAGGTTGCTGGTTATTTGAAGGAACTTGTGAACAGCAGTGGACTGAATATCAACCTAGGCCTAGTTCAGACTGCCTATGCCAATGGCAGCTCCACAAGCTACATTACTAATGAATTGGTGAGTTTATTCATGCATTGGGTTGAGTAAAATGAGAACATAACTATGAAAAAAGAATAAACTTAAGCAGTATCCTTGCCAAAACCACCACTTCTTCACGGGATAGTGCCTGCTGATAAATTGCTCATGTGCTTTTCCTGAATATGCTTCTCTATAAAATGTCAGCAGTTTCAACATGTATCCTGTGTGAGTGAAGTTCCAGTCACAGCAAGGCATTCACACCTAACACATTTAACATATTTACAAGTCATAGCTGTGGTGGTTATATAGCCTACTCAGGCACATTTTATTAAGTGCACAATCACAACTAACACAATCTGTTACATAGAATGCACTTACCTGTACATACCTGACTGTCATTTCAGCAAGTCCCAGTGGCTTGTGTGCCCACAGGTGTGAAACATCTCCATCACAAAGCCCTGGAGTATGACATAGGTGTGTACTTTGAGGCAAATGGACATGGGACCGTGGTCTTCAGTGAAAAAATACAAGATATGGTTCTCATGGCAGCTAATGATTCCAGGTAAGACTATATTAGCAAATATTTTCAGTTTTAAGTTTCACAAGATATGGTGTGTGTGGTAAAACATACTAAAGTTTGCAAGTTTTCACTTTTCATTTGATTTTTTCAGTCTTTCAAAAGACCAAGAGCATGCCGCAAGAAGACTGTTATGGATAATTGGTCTAATAAATCAGGTATGTAAAAACAGTAAAGATCCTAAAAAACTAGATATTTGTGTCTTTCAGATTTTCCCTTTTGGCCAAAATATGTAGATATTTAAGATTTTACTTAACGTAAATATAAGAATTTATACATCACACATGAAACCTGACCATTTTAGCAGTCATTGTATCCACTTATTATTAATAATTGGTTAAACTTTTGCCTTTTCTTCATTGATACCATATTGTCCATAAATTTTATTACTGTTTTTAGGGGTAATATTTTCTTGTTGGCTCAAAGCATTATTTTTGTACACAGGAAAACTTCATCATCTGTATGTATGACTTTTGCTCTCCTCATCTTCAGACTGTAGGTGACGCCATCTCTGATCTCCTGTTAGTAGAAACAATCTTACATTCCAAGGGGTGGAGCATAGAGGACTGGAATGATGCCTACACTGATCTTCCAAACAGACAACTCAAAGTCAAGGTGAAGAAATTTTATGATACACAGAAGGAGGTTTTAGGGGCCCACTTCAAAAGCGATGCTGCTAATTCCATGATGGTCTCCCTGCCTCCACAGGGGCCTAGCAATTAAACCTCAGATTTAATCCATTTTATGGCGCGTGTGGAGCTGGGGAGACCTTTGGGAATCAGCAGCTTAACTTTTGAAGTGAGGTCGGCCATATTTAGTTAGCGGATCAGTAAGTACTTGGATCATCTATTCTGAATGGCCCCTTAGAAGTCTCTTGATTTTGATGGACATGACAAGTTTCTCCATGGCCGTGTGTCATAACCTTGTGAATATCTTGAGAAATGGCTTGGCTAGGACCATCATATTTGGAACATATGGGGGCTTTGATGAGTTTGTGATGGCTTACCTTGAACTTTATTCTAAGGTTGACCTTCGTTTCAAGGACAATTTTTTTGGTCACATCTGCCAACAAAGCATGCTCTATTTTCATTGGCATTGATTTGTCTGTTCATTAGTGGGTGTGATATCTCAAAGAAGTTCTTCCAAAAAAATGTAATAAATTATTCAGGGGAAAAAGAAGCATTTACAATTTCAACAAAATCAGGGTTTCCTAAAACATTTTTTGAAATGTTGTTTGATTATAATTTACATTTTGCCTTTGAAGATGTCTGCAGTCTAGAAGTATTCTCCATTTAATTATTGGTGCAATATGCATACATGTACTACTACAAATAGGAGACTTAAAAGTACTGGGCTGGAATATTCAAAATATGTGTAAGCTTAACAAAGTGAGCTAAAATAAAATGTATAACTGACAACCCTTAAGGTAGCAAAAATAACATGCTTAATGTTTTTAATTTATTTAGAAAACTCATACTCCAGGTTTTGAAATCTGTTACCTAGTTTATATTATCAGATAACTGCAAGAAGAGAAGAAAAGCTGTCATATTCTCATTTATTTTCAAACTGTTTGTAGGTGAAAGATAGAACTGTGATTCAGACCACAGATGCTGAGAGGAAAACTACCTCGCCTAAAGGGTTGCAGGAGGCCATTGATGCTTTGGTGGAAAAGTATCCAGATGGCAGGGCCTTTGTCAGGTCAGTTCACACCTGTGCACATGTCCAGCAGGCATGTCCAGAAGACATATGGCTGTACTGTCCAACCCAATGTCAAACTTTGTTTACTCTTTTTTTTTCTGAGTGTTCAAAGCAAAGAACAAACAAGTGCAATCATGAGTCATTGTTGCACAATGTGATTTATGTCGAACTTTGTTCTATGAACACTTATCGTACAGTATGTGAGGTCAAGTGGTCATGATATTTGGTTCACTTTTCAATATTAACATTTTGAAAAATGAACCAAATATCATGACTACTTGACCTCACATACTCTGAATTTTTTAGGCAAATCAGTTACAAATTAATACAGTAGAAGATTACTTATTAGATTCACTATGGATCCCAAGTGTTTGATGAGCTTAAAATTCTAAACTGATGAATCAACACTCATTGATCATTTGGGTGACAATGACCATTTCACATTGGTAACAAATAAGAAAATAAGCCAGCAACTTGGCTATTAAAAATTCCAAAATAAGAGCAGTTCTTTATTTTTAACAGTTATTTAATTGAATATAAATACAGCCTATAATTTCATTTAATTCAGGCCTTCTGGAACTGAAGACATTGTTAGAGTTTATGCCGAGGCAGAAACTCAGGTATGTATTTAAAGTTAGTCTTTGATATGTGTGCTATGCTTAAAGAGGTACGTCTGCCAAAAAAGGTATGTCTGGCAGTGTCAAGGGGGTCCTGACCCCCCCCCCTTAGATTTCTGAAAAAAAATCACACCAATGGTCCTCTCTTGAAATTATAATTTTGACTAGCAGAATCATAGTTATAAACCATACCAAATGGCACCGTTTGCCCTCTAAAATACTATTTTTCACACCAAGAGGGGGTGGGGAAGGTAGGCTTCACATCCACGGACCCCCCTTCAAATAATCCTGGATCCGCCCCTGTCTGGTGATTTTATAGACTGAAAAGCTCCAAATTTGGAGTTAGTCTAGCAAAGTTTTATTTTAAAAGTTATTTGAATCATTTAAATGAATCTAGAATTTATTAAAATGGGGAAGTAAAGATGAGTGGGTGGCATGAGAATGATTTAAATGTTATGCTCGACAAAAATGTAGTCAAAAAGCTGGTCCCATACTTGAAAACTATATCTCGTCAATGGTCTTGTCTCTCAACTATGTGTTTAGAGCTTCAGATAAGTTTTTATTTTGGCAACATACATATTTTGTTATCTGTATGTGCATGTATTTAAATACTTGTAAGTAGATAACACCTTCAGGATATACTAAATAACTTGCCTTAACAAGAGTTTGTACTAGTAACAGACATTGGCTTCTTAGCATTGGGATTACATATGCCATTGGAATTATTTTCATTTATAGTTAATGATGTTTATCTTTGTCAGTTGAAATTGTGTACACAGCCAGCATCATTGGTGTGCTAGGGAAAACACCTTGTCCCCTGACTTTGTTGTGCAGTTGAAAGATTTTAACAGACCCCCCCCCCCTCTCCAATCTGCCAAACATTCACACATGTACACTCACTGGTACCAGGCTTCCCTGTACTTTGCTCTCCTACTTCTGGAGTATTTTACCACCTGGAGCTTCTTAACTACAAAGAAAATTTGTGATAACATTGACATTGATCTTATAGTGTAAAGTTGATTAAAACCCCTCAAGTCAGCCACAAGGACTGTTTGGCCCTAAATAAATAAGTTTGAAAATATTACGTGTACACTTTTTTTTTGCAGAAAAATGCTGACATGCTTGCTCATGAAGTATCAGTGGAGGTGTATAACCTTGCTGGTGGCGTAGGAGAGAAGCCGACCCCTCCTCAGTGAACTGCCTGTCTGATCTGTTACCATACAGCAGGACCAGTGTCATCAGTCATGCAGTATTCTAGTCTTATATTATATTATATTATTTTATAGAAGCTTTTGTAACAAACTAATAACAAGGGGTGCAACATGTTGGAAAAGGTGTATTAACACAAGCCAAGAGACTTACAGGTCAGAAATTGGCAGCTTTACCTCTAATGAACAATGACAGTGTTGTTTCTTTATTCTATTTATTTATTCCTTAATTTTAGTCTTATTTGTGATATATAAGGATCTCTTTGTAATTTAGATTCATTTCACACTTGTATTACAGCTGATAATGTATACATGTTTGTCACTATTTTGCTAGCTGTAATGCTTTCATTTTGAATTTGAAAGTTCATTTACAGTAAGTTTGTTTTCCCATCCGCTTACTATGTTGTTAATCGTGGAATGAAGCAAGCTGCAGGAGAATTGCAAGTTTGTTCAGTCATTATAATTCTGCCTGACTATATACATGTATTACATACCATGCCCTGATTTCTACCCTCTCCATGCAGGGGGGTGGGGGAGCTGGGAGAGGGGGAAGTTCCAAAAAAAAAAAGTGAAAGTACAGTTGGGATAATTTGGTATAATTAAATGAGACGAAAAATATAAAGATTTTCTTTTGAAGTTGTACACAACAATGGATTCCATAGTCAGTGTTTATTGTTTAGTCTTTTGGTAGACCCACAGTGGATATTACTGCACATTTAGCCTTCTGTTGATGCCTATCTGTCTGTTGCAGAGTGTAGAGGGCATAACACCTTGTAAATGAAACTGTTAGCTCAGTAAAAGGGGAAGTGGTGATTGCTATCTTTTCCTGAAAGCTAAATAGTAATAGATACAGTGTAATTGGTGGCATTGAATGGCTTGCCTTCCTTTATTATCATATGTCTAGATAATAGACAGCAGCCATACTGTAACAAGACCTGATCTCTCTTTCTGAATGATGCTGAGGTGGATGTCCAGAACAAAAGATTGTGCTATGTATCTCACACAGGTGCATCTGTCACGCAGGAATGCAAGTTCCACCATGCTTGTGCCTTTTTACTCCACATTCAAAGTAGTATACATAAGTCAGATACACCATGAGTCCCCAAAGTGCATGTGACTCACACTTCCCACTGTCACATGCACCTTGATGACTCGTGATTTCACTATGACATATTTCTCATTATATAATAATTATTAAGTATGAAGAGTATTCATATACTTTTTTCTGTTGTGTTAAACCTTTAGGATGAGAGGTTATTTAGGCATTGGCAAGGTATCTTATCACTTTCATTTGGGTTAAATTTATAAGAAATTAAACGATCCTGAACAACAGATGTACCCATTTTGATGGTTTCTTGGATCCACATGTATTTTATGCTGCTCAGTTTCCTTTGTAATTATGAGTTAAAATGTTAATGGGGTGAACAGGAAGCAGTAATATGTATGCAACATTTAACTGCCAACCCCATCAATACTTGCTTTTAGTCTAAAAAAATCCAGTTGTTAAAGATAATTTGGTGCCATTAATTTTTTTTCTCTTTTGAGTCCCAGGCTGTCACATCAGTGCTTTTCTAGTTGTAGGATGATGTCAGAGTCATAAAGCAGTCCATGCCCATGGTGTTCATTGTCCAGTAGTGTGTCCTGATGTCAGAAAAATTCTGCAACAGTTTGAGAAAACACAAGGACCAGCTGTCAGACTGGTCTCCTTGTTTTAATATTTAACAATTCAGTGATATGGGATTGAAACTTTGTATTCAAAGGGATAATAACTCTTTGTATGAGATCTATATTTCACAATGAAAACATTGTGAATAACTCATAGAAATATAATATATTCTGTTTTACCACAAAAACGGCAGTTATAGCTATTATTCTGATATCTGAGCTTGTCTTTAGACCATGTGACCTCTTTTTATGGCTATACTCTTAACAAAAAACCAAACTTTTTAGAAAAAAACCAGGGACTAACTTTGAATGTAAAAATGGATTCATTAACCATTGGTAAGTATGGAAAAATTGTTGTTTACTCTAGGAAAATTCATTTTTTGGCCGAAACGAAGAGTTATTATCCCTTTAAATTACCATAACTTGTAATAATCATGGGAAATATTTGTCAAAATTATTACTCATGTATTGATTTAAAAAAAGGAAATCCATATTATTTAAAAAGTGATAACCTGAATAAGAATTTGTGCTCATATTTTGAATAGAAAGTAAAACAGAATGTGTACAACTTTAATGTAATAGTGTTCTTTACTTTGTACTACATGTTTTGTTATATATTCATTGAAAGAATGCACATTAACTGAAACAATTGTACAAACTATAGTATGTATGAAACTGTGATTACCAGGGACCTTCAGTGTGTATAAAAAAATTTAAAAAAAAAAAAAAACGCTGTGTTATTTAGCTCCTAAATTGTTAGTGAGCCTGTGTAAAAGCTTGAAAATCATGATGATGCTTTTAGTCTTTATGTTGTTGGTGAAAAAGAATATTATAATTTAAAGAATGATAAAACTGTTTATTTTCTTCCAGTAGTACAACATTATTGAGGTTTAATATGCCAGGCAAGATTATAATACATCAAATGTTGGTCACTTCAAGTAGCGCAATTATTTGATAAGGTTATGATAAAATTAATATAAGTATGAATGTATTGGTTGACATATTAAGTGGTAAAGTATCACAGATAGATAGATAATATATATCTCTGAGGGTTTAAAAGTGTGATAAATATTAAGCTGTTAGAGATAATGGCAGTAAAGGCAAAAAATAAAATATTTATAAGTAAATCATTTTCTCTCTTGTTTTGCCAAGCTAACTAAAAGGAAAAACTATAAACACTGATTCAATAATTATGAAATACATCTCTGCCAGCACTTTTCCTTTGGCTGTATCAACAACCAATTAAGATATTGAAGTGGTGGTCAACACTTGCTCAGATATATCTATAATAGCAAATTACTGAAAATGTTAATTTTTACTGTAAAAAGTCTGCCCATACTGGTTACACTCCAAATGTGTTGCATGTAGCATCGTTTTTGCTTATTTGTAAATATGTATCATCACTCTGTCATGGGGATTTTTATCACTAGCCTAAAATCGGTGATTGAGAAATGACCTCGCCATAAGCACATGTACATGTATATCTACCTACCCCTACCAAAGTATATTTTTCCTCTTTTATTTAAGGCAAAAATAGTTTTGCCCGTTTCTCTGAAAATCAATGTTATAGAGCCTACCCTTTTCACAGAAAATAAAAAAGTAACTACTTTATTGCTTATAATATAATGCATTGTTATTTTAAAAAAAGAAAAACTTTAATTGCAACACTGACAGAATTTTACTGCAGAGTGGGGAAATTTCGTACATCAGTTGATTATCAAAAACTTGGCGAGTTTGAGCGCCAACTCGCGCTCACTATAAACCGACATGAACCGACTTGACTGGTACTAAAAATAGGATATTTGCTTCGTGATGTCAGGTGAGAACTTACGTCATCGTTCTTCTGACCGGTTATTTGGATGTAATAAAAATATGCAATTTAAATAGATAAAGTCGTGGATTTTTTTCTCCTTCGAAATTCTAATAAGATGTATGATATCTCCACTGCTAAAAGTGACTTTGCACACCACGACGACATTGCTGTGCCTGGGGCTCATAACTTTACCTCTGCATTGACCTAATTTCCTTGTAAACAAACGTTTGAACCAACAGCTGTGTTATCAACACTAAATTTTTCGACGTGCAACTTACAGATCGATAGGAACGATGTTACTAAACCCATTACCTTGTACTAATGTCTTTTTACACAAATAAGTAAAAAAATATCATCTTTTTGAACTAGAATGTGAAAACAAGAGTTTTGTTGTGTTGCATTCTCGGGGTGTGGTAGCAACATATGATCAGGCATGACTTTCACGTGGTCTCTTGAATTAACTTCTGATTGGCCAATTTCATATGTATTAGCATATGAAATAGCTAAACGTCAAACTTGGCCAATCAGAATTGCAGAAAGACCGCTTCATTATAATATTCAATTTTGTGTAAACAAACCATTGCGGTTCGTTCAACGTGCCGATTTGCGCGAGCCACAACAACGTCAGCCATTTTGACAGGAGGCAGGTCCCAATTTACTTCAACTAAAAAATTCCAGAAAAAGCGAAGCTTTCATCCATCATGAGCATAGCTCAGCTTCTACAGGCAGCAGAATATCTGGAGAGAAGGGAAAGAGGTGAGATACTCTAATCAGAGTTAGAAATAGTGTAATTTTTGCAAACGTTGCCACGTTGACAAGCTGTCAAAAATTCCCCCTATAGACGCTGAATAGGGTTATCAAGAAATTTTTATTTTGGAATTCCAGAGGCAGAACATGGCTATGCCACGACGATGCCAATGCCAGATGACTATATGAAAAGGAAATCCAAACCGAAGAAATCTCAGGGAAATAGGTAAATAAGAAATGATGAGGTTACGAATATAAACAACAATCAGCTGACAGCGCCCGCCATTTTATTTTGGCGGATTCCGGTCACGATCAACTGCCTTAGAGCATTCTCATGCATCCTGGATGGAACAAAATTTTCAAGGACATACACATTTGATATACTGAACTTTGTGTTAATGAAGTAAATAGCTTTAGTAATGGACTTTTGTTGCAGTATTTTGCAAGTGATATGCCAGGATATGCGAAATCGATTGCCGCCATCTTGAAGTTTTATTATGGAATGCTTTTCCATTTTTGACATCTAAATTTCAGTTAATGCTGGAAGATCTATCTTAAACTTTTAAGAAATTATTGGATTAGTCTTCTTTTGTTCACAACTAAAACATCGTGAGAATATCATCAGTTTGGGTTAATAACCACCTAATCAATATTAAAAGCCATATCGGAACTGGATTAACTGTTGTTATCGTTTTGTTATGATGTAGTGTGGATTTTTTGTGCCGCCCTAACACCATGTCACGTAAATATCTCTCTCTTTAAATTTTTGATATTGAAATAAGTCATAACTATGGGTTGATTAAGATTTGCAGTCTGTTTTTATTTCACCTAATATTTACAAGTTTAATATAATGTCACTCTTACTTCTTTTATTCTTTTATCAAATCAAATTTTGTTTCATAAATTGATTAAAATTAACTATTTTTCTTTAACCAATGAAACATAAGTATTCCACAAAATGTGTTAGGAATTTTTACAGGTTGGAAAATAATGAGAATGTTTTTAAAAAACTCTTATAGTTTCTATCTTTATTAACTTAATTGAAGTTTGAAGACATCGTTTGAGGGATAAAATTTTATTACTCATTAACTTCTGTAACCCAAACTTATTGGTCATTTCGGTGAACTATCAAGTAAATTAGTTTTATTTAAGGTACTGCACATAAATTTTTAATGACATGATGTGTTTCATTGAAATAATGATACCAGTTCTATTAATATTCAGGTATTTTCTATTTGTCACAGAGGCAGTGCTGGTGACACATAAAAGCATGCTTTCAGTGTAACTGAACAGCTATAGGAAATTGACAGCTTATTGGACTGTTGCCAGAAAATAGGGTGCATATCCTAGATTAAGTAAACAACAAATCCTTAGCTTTAAGTTGAGTCACCCAACATTGCCTCGGAGTGTTAAGTAAATAGGTAGTGTTTATATTTGTTATACATATTTTTTATACCTATATATATGTATGCATGTTAAGATTATTGAGATTTTACTTTCAGGTCTACGCATAATGAGCTGGAAAAGAACAGGTGAGAGAGTTTTCTAATATTGATTCTTCTAATAATATGTTATGCATTATTGATGTGACAGTTCCAGCAAGTTACAATATTTCAGAAAAAAATTTTTTTACTGCCTTAGTTAACCCTACTTAAAAAATGGCTTTAAACCTGGATCAAGTTATGATTCAGAATGGATTATTTCATAACAAAAGTCTTTTTTTACCCCCCCCTCCCCCCTCTTTGCCATTTGATTGTGTTATTTTGAAACGTGGGATACATTTACTAAATTGTAAGTTATAGTTAGGCCATCATTGTGTATCAGTGGCGGGTTTCTGGTTCCCACATTGAAAATGGCATTATTACGTAGGATGTGGTGGAGAAAGAGGTGATTCAAAGGTATTACAAGGACATGGGTGTTCTGCATAATGCATGTACCATGTAAGGTCAAATTGAGGTCATAAAGACTGGGCATTTTAGTGTGCACAACATAAAAGGTACTAGAAGAAATGTACTGAGGGGTTGAATTTTTACTTGAATTTTTTTTTCTGCCTTAATAAGAATGTTTATGTATCTTTATATATCTATTATATACAGAAATATTTAAAGAAAAAATTGAAATGCATAATTTTTAAGTAAAATGAACTTTACAGAGATAGTCTAGAAATGGTTACAATATTTTTGTGGTTGAATAGTTAAAAATTTTCAAAATGGAAACTGATCTATGTGATTGAAAAAGAGACCATATTGGTAATTACAAACTATAACTTATTATGATTTGATGTCTTGTCATAATTTGCTCATTGAAGAAAATTTTTTTTGAAGGCGGGCACACTTGCGTCAGAGCCTGGAATTGTTAAAAGAAATAGTCCCGGTGGGACCAGAAGCTACTAGACACACAACACTAGGACTGTTGACCAAATCCAAAGCCTTTATCAAGGTATGCTGCTTTGTTGGTGCAGAGAAGCCTTAAATAGTGTACACAACGTGAAATAAGTAAACATCTGTGTTTGTTTCATTGATTTATCTGATTGTTTACAATGGAAGAAAGTGGCACCATTTGGAGATATGCATTAGAGACAGGTGTATAAGCAAGTTGCAAATTTTTGCTTTATTCTTGGCTCAGGCACTGGAAGAAAAGGAGAGGAAGTATAACATACAAAAGGAAAATATGCTCAGGGAACAGCGTCACCTAAAAAGGAGACTAGAACTTTTAACTAAAGGGTCCTGGAGGACACGAAAAAATTCAGAAAGAAGTATCAGTGAAAGTAGTACTTCAACAGTCTCCAATGTGTCAAATGCCTCAGACTCTTGTGAATCAGGTAAGCCAAATGTGCTCATCACAAAAAATTGTTTTTTAGTTGTGTTAATTTTTTTACCAAAACAGGTAGAGAAAATGTCAGTTTTACATTTTTAGTCACAGTGTTGTTCAATAAGGCTGTAGAAGTTCTGACAGTGTAGCTTAGTTTATTGGGACTTACCAGTACAAGATTAATAGCTTATTCTTTGGCTTTCTTTTTGTAATGAAGTTTGAGTAGTTGACTGACCTCTTTTCTATTACTGTTGAAGTCTAAAATTAGAATTGGGTATCACATTACCGCTGTTCCTTTTGTGCTTGTGTGTTTAAGTTGACTGCAAGTAGTGCATAGTTCAGTAGTTTATCAAAACCCTCAGGGGGGCTTTTGAGTACAATCATGAAATATGGACAAAGCAGGAGACAAATAATTCCATGTCATTGCTTATCTGACCATTTGCACCTGGAGGCTCTCCAATATTATAGAGCTGTTAGATTGACAAACCTGTCAAAGGTCAGGCCACCTGTAATTAACTGAAGTCTTGAGGTGATAATTATACTTACCTGAGGACATTTGGCCTGGTGACAATTAAAAGCATGGGTCAGGAAATGAATATTAATCTATAAAGGCTTGGAGCCAGGTGATGTGCACATCAAGTATGGAATACTAATAACTTTGTTTGGAGTGAAGCCCTGTTCCTTTTTATCATGGCAAATAGAAAAAATTTAAGCTTTTAGAGGGGACTGTAGCTCGAGAAATCTGTAATCTTGGTCTCAGTCATTGAATGACCATTCACTTCCAAAATTACGGGGGAGAGGGGGGGGGGAATACGTGTGGAAGGGGTTGCAGTCTTTAGTGTAGTCTTAAGTACTAGTTGCAACACGAGTCATCCACTGTATGTGACAAACAAGAGCCTTATTATATCAAGGTGCAGCCCTTGCGTATTGCATACAGTGGACGACGAGTATTTGTAACTGAGTTATCCCACGGCTGGCACTTCCAACAATAGGATGAACACACCTAAGCCTGTGAAAATACAGTTGAGTGTGCAAGTAAAATACAAGTGCAATTATCCTTTTGTTCAGAGTGCTGGGTGTAGGATAATTGTTTTTTATTCGAACTTTTGAAAATGTGGTTTCAGTATGTGGAGCTGAGGTTTCCTGCAATAAGAGTACATACCTGTTACCATGGGAGTTTTGCGCCAAAAAATATCTTATTAAGATTATGAAATGCACACTTCATTACTAGCATTGAATGTTTGTTACATTTATTCTTTTCAGATGAGGTCGACATCCTGGGCTATAATAGTTCTAATAGTGACACAGATGACCACAGCAGCATTGGGAGTGGCAGTGATGGCTGTACTGTGAACTCTAGCATCCACAACCTGGCTGTATGATGCTCACATACAGTGATGTACAGCGTAAACTTGGATGCATAAGAAAATGGGGAAAATGTGAAGAAAAAAAAGAAAGAAAAAAAAGTGGAAGTATTCTCATCTTGAGGTATCTCAGCATTTCATTCTAGTCCTACTATGGTCATCACAGCTTGCCAATAAGATGAAATCGGAATTCAAGATAAAAGATGATGCATTGGCTAAATGTGCAGTATCAGTCGACTCCATCCTTCAATATGTGTTGACTTGGGGCCAAAGATTTGAGTCAATCTAGTGAAATTACATCTCTCACTGCCAGGTGTTCATCGCCCATCTGATTACTGATCGCCTCTTCCAGTGTCATGCACTCTTCTGTTACCTCGCTTTATTTCCTGTGAAGGAAATCAGAAGAGTGTGTGCAGTGTGATATTGAAAAGCTGAATGCACTGTTGGATACGTAATGTCAACAAAAATGGAAGAAAGCTCCAGCCATCATGATCTCAGAGCACTTGAACCAACTCCTGAATGCCATTAAGTGCTCAAACTCTTGCATTGCTAGGAGGCTAAGCTAAGCCATGGTAGAACCAGATGGAGGGAATGCCATATCACAATATTATTATGTTATCATTATTACTGCTATTATCTGGTATCATTATTATACTGGTAGACCTAGTATTTGGTACTTCAACTGATAGTTATTATTTCATGTTGAATGAATATGCTAAGTTTATTGAGATTTATGTTGAATTACATAATATTGTATGAAAGATTAAAACTTTATTATTACTACCTGTTAATTCTTGATTATTTCAGGAAGATGAGTTACAACTTGCAAAGTCAGCTAATTGACTTGCCTTTTCATTAACGTGTTAAACCCACAAATGTATCAATTTGAATCTGTGTTATGTTGATAGGCAGCTTTTACCATGGTCCTTCAGATTGAGAGACCAAGCTTTTTCGTGGGTTGAATTCAAGCACTGAAACTCTACATGAACCACTTTTTATTTTGTGTGAATGTTTATTTTACCTGAAAGGTGTGGAAATGTGACTGATAGGCAAAGTGTATGCCAAAAGGACTATCTGCAAAATTATGAAGGCGAGAGTTTTTCAATGTCATGTTTGGATTTACCCTGCTGTTGGGCTAGATCATCTTAACATTTTGTACAGAGAATTGTCTCCCAAGGTGTAATCAGTTTAGTCCCTGGCATGTAGATTGTGTAATAAGCTGTTGTTTCTGAATCAAATTAATCCTGCACTTCTTGTGTTAATTCACCTTAAAATGCCTATTTATATATGAATGTATAGTTGTTTTGTTTGCATTGAGCAGGGCTACAAATAATTTATTGCATGTTGGGGTTTCATTGAATGTGAAAACCCTCTGATGATGTTGTGCATGGTTCCATTAACTTCTGAGAAGCAGGGTCATGTAAGACTATAACATCTATGCCAGCTATTCTGAACAAAGTAATTCTAAGCTTTGCTTCTAGTTATTTAAGTTACTGGTGCTAATCATAAAATGTCCCAGCAGAACATACACCAGACATTTGCAGGGACTTGTGCTGAACTGGTTGGAACAAGTGAATGTTTTTAGTTTTACAGCATGAATGGCTTTTAGTATGTATTAGTGCAATCTTTGTCCAACTAGCTGTATTGTAGACGAGTGAAATGTAAAATTTTTAAATGATTTTGACTGAAAGAATGGGACTCTGAAGATTTTTAGACATTTTAAAACTTACCAGGTAATGGACTGGAACCAGCCACATCTCCTCATGATATTTACAATGTCCATGCACATTGAGGAGATACTGGTACCCCAAAGTGAAATTTACCTTACATTTTTATGCTAAAGATGTGTATATAGATAACAATGTTGTTCTCATTCTCATCTTGAATAGAATAAAGTTTTATTTCAGTATGTTTTTTTTTCTTCCCTGGGAGATGTTTAGATCTGCACTTTTGAAAAGCAACTGCCATCAAACTTGCCATGGGCTTCTTGCTCAAAACTTTCTTGGAAAGAAACTGATTTTACAATGACCTTTGAATGACTGCAGGAGGATTTTGAATCTTGCCTAAAGGTTTTTAGTGTCTTGGATAAAATGGCCAAATTATCTGAATACATTATGAAAAAGGAATTTTGACTGCATAATATTAAATTAAACTAACAGGATGTAATTCAAATAACACTAGATGAAATCTTTCCCCTGTTCCTTTGACAGTGTATAATTAAGATAACTGAAGTCGGCATCTTTTGTTAGAATTCTAAGATTACACTTCAGTTTAAATAAGACATAACCACTATATACAGGGGCGGATTTAGGCCGTCTTCTGGGTCTTCCAGAAGATGGTCAGATTTTCAAGTTTACATTGACGGGTATCTATCTTTTTCTGTCGGAAGACGGTCAAAAATGGAAGATGGATCAACAAAGATAATTTGGAAGACTGTCAGAAAATAACTCTGGATCCGCCCCTGATATATATAATAATATAACAACCAAGTGGCAGTGATTGGGCTATTAAGCAGATGGGGAAGTCTGATATACAAAATGATCAATTCCATCTCAATTACAAGGTTTACACCAATGTTTAAGAAAAATCCATCCACTTGTAATGTTATTGTTTTCCTTATACCGTTTATTAACTTCTCATGAAACTATATGCTGCATAACTATCACCTTTTTAAAACAAAGTAAGTAACTGTTAAAGTCCCAACAATTTGTAGTGTTAAAATTGTTAAAGTTACATAGGGAAGGTGTGTAGATTCCCTAAAACATAAATCACTACTACCGGTTTCTTATACCACTCAAATAAAGTCCACATGCAAAAGATGCACCAGATTAAGCACTTGGTCAGCCAAAGCAAGCTTAAAAACTGTGCCTTCTAATTTCTGGTTGTAAATTTGACCTATTTATCTGCCCTCCAGTTAGTAAAAGTCTGTCTAGGAACAGTAATGTATGCTGCATTTCTGCTGTGCATGCAATAGCATATATATTTAAATGAGAGTTGGATAAAATAACAGTGTTAAACAAAGAACAGAAAGAAAACAGAAAATATCTGTTGAAATATCATATTTGAAAAATAAGAAATTATATCCTTTGGTACATCTCCAAGTTGTGCCACTTGAATCTGTGTGGTGGCATTTGACAGGGTTAAGTAGCAACATCTCCAAATAAAATTCATCTTTAGATTATACTAACAATTAAGCTTGTTTCAGTGACAAAGACGTTTATTCATTGACAATGTATTGATTGTTTAAAGTCTTCCCATCTCTGCAATATGCGGGGTTTGAATAATAGTTACCCAAAACACTGTTAAAGTTCACAGTGACAATGACATATTTATTGCCACTACCACGAGATGAAATAATTGGTTGGTAGGATGGAAATACCACAGACCACATTCAGCAATAATTTTTTGAAGAATATATTTTTATTATCTTTATTAAGCAAATTTATATATATAAACACACTGCATGGCATTGCTAGTCCTGACAATTCTACAACTCCCAACTCCAGCTTCTATCTTGAATACAAGAACATTCATTGCCTTGTGGCAATCAATTAGTTCTATGGAGCAGATCGAACAAAACATTGGAAACATTTACTTCTCCATGAAGCACTAATGCAAAAACATATGAAGGAAAAAATGATTAAATGGTCTCAATATTGCGTAAGAAGCTGCACTCAAAAAACAGAGAGCATTAACATGATGAAAATGCAAACTGGACTGCTGTTTGCACAACTTTAAATGTTCTACCATAATTTTAAAATCAAAAATCCATATTAACAAAACTATCTTTAACAAAAAAAACCTATAATTATTCTAAGTCAGTTATGCATGCCATGCACAAGCTGTCATACACTTGCATAAAGCAAGGTTCGAACAGCTAAAATTTCAATACAGACATTCATCTGTAACTTAGACCCAATTCCCATACCTAGATTGATCTAGAAGGATCCACCAGTCCCCCAGGGGATTCTCCCTAAATTACATTCAGATTAAGTGACATAGATGTCTGGCATGTCTAATGAAGCTGTTAAACAATAGTTAGTTACTCCTTAACAGCTTCAGTAGGCGTGCCAGACATCAGAGCAGCTTAAGTTGAAGGTAATTTAGCGAGAAACCCCTAGAAAATAGGTCAATCCTACTAGATTGATCTAGGTATGGGAATGGGGTCTTCATCAACATCAATTAATGTCAAATGTTGAAAAAATAATCCCATGTAAAAAGAGAGATCTGTGAAGTTCAAAATTGCATATAACTACAAATTTCTGCATTTCTGGTCAACAGACGATAATGTAAGCAAATATGTTGCGGTTAAGACTGTCAAGATCAATAATGTATTTTAAATATACATTAGCCAAAGTCTTATGTAACATATAAGACAATTCTCCAATTTACGAGTCTTTGATTATTTTTTTTCCATATGTCCCATTCAAGGTATGACATCACATAAAACAGATATGGTAATGCCAGGAGTTCAGATTCTGAGGTGTTCCATTGTGCTGGGAATGAACGATGTTGCTTGCAGTTCAGTCTGCAGGCACTTTAAATATCCAGTCATTTTTATCTGGGAATACTGGGACTGCAAAAGCGTCGCCAGAGCTTCGTGTTCCTTAAGTCCCATTATATACAAATTCCACTTGCATAATGTATTCAGTCCACAAGAAAAAAAAAACCTGAAATGCGTCAGTTAGCATCCCAGATATGTGTGTTGAGATACTTCATCATACCAAATGTTCGCACTCTTTTACGACCTAAAACAAAGAATAAGAAAGCAGAATAAACATGGTCTGTCAGTTTCACATTAGAAGTTGCACTCAAAAAATATTAATATGATGAAATTGCAAACCAAAGCACTGACAAAGATGATTTACTTAACCTGTAATCTAACTTAGAACACAACTGTGTTGGACAAGAAAGTTTACAATTCAATGACTTTAACAGATATCTACTTAAAGATCAATGATTACTATGTCAATCTTATGAAGACTTACCAAACAATTTCTGCATCTCTTCATCACAAACCATGAACTGACGATTTTTGGGATCCTAAGAAAAGAAAAGAAAACAGCAATTCCTGTTAACAGCTTCATATCACAAATGAAAGTAGTATAACTGACATATCTTAATATGAGGTGATCAAATGACCATTCAGTGATTAATTCAGATAAAAATAATCTCCTTTTCAACAATTATCATGAAATTTGATTCAGAATAAAATTTGCCAAAAAAATACAGGACATACCTCCAGTTTTCTTTCCTTTACAATCTCCCACATCCTCTTTACTACATCTTTCCTAGGAAGCTGCAAAATTTTAAAACCATGTTATATGCAAGAGAACACTAAAAAGAACACGTATATTAACTTTAAAACCATGTTATATGCAAGAGAACACTAAAAAGAACACATATATTAACTTTAAAACCATGTTATATGCAAGAGAACACTAAAAAGAACACGTATATTAACTATTACATCTTGGAAATAGAATACTTTAAGGCTTCGTTCACATGGAAAGTCTTTTTTCTAAAAATCTATTTTCTATTCGCGGTTTCTTGTAATCATGGTCTGTGCCCTGAATACCCCGCGGCGTAATTACTGGCAGCACGAGCCAGTTACTTCCAAAGCTGTAATTAATTCTCGGCTGTGCTCGGAGTGATCACAAGATACCCTGAATAGAAAATAGATTTTATGAAAATAGACTTTCCATGTGAACGGAGTTTAAATGTTTGCAACCAAAAACTGTATAGAATTATTTACAAATATCATATTAAGGAGAAATGTGGTTTTCACCATATGTTTTTCATTTCCCTCATACTAAGGAGAAATGAGGAAGTTAACAAGAGCAGATATACATAAAGACCAAACAACACTCCTATATGTATTACAATTAGACACTGTTAGTCAAGATCTAACAATGTACTATCACACAAGACTGTAATATCTTACCACAGGAAGGGTTGGTGTGGAGTCAAGCCGACCAAATGCTATAATTATCTACCTATTATCTGGACATCTCCACCTAGTCACAGAGTCTTCGGCAAATTTATAACAACTCAGCTTTAATTTCCTTTCTATGATAATTTGATGACTGACAAGCAGCCTCATTCACCTATTTGCATGCTTTATTCCCCCCTTTAATAACAATCAAGTAAGTTTACATGTACATCAAGGTAAAACATTGGAAACAAAAGGCAAGGGGACCAATTTAATGCCATCAAAAACTCCACTTTATAGTTTGATAACATTTTTTGCTTTAAATCTCTAAATATAAATGTCTTTTCCATTCATTCAAAATATAAGAACACATTTCCGGTAATTTCTATTATTCCAATAAAATACAGTCTTTTGGCATTATAAACCCGTGTGTGTAAAACTAAATAGTGTTAATGAATATTTCTTTGTAATGAGACTGTCTTTGATCACACTTCAGTAACCATAACACTTGCTTTATTTATTTATTTATTTTTAATTACGAACTTTAAATGACAAATATGGAATTTCCTCTCTTGTGCAATTTGGATTAATTAGGCGTAATTTTAATTTTTATTTTGTTTTATTCATCCATCTATTTATTTATTCATTAAATTTTGATCTTAAACAACTGATGAGAGCATTTCCTTTCATCTATTATGATTCAAGGTTGAAGTTAAGATTCTCACCCATAAAAAGAGATTTCAAAGTAAGGAAATACATGACAGACTAGATAATACTGGTAATAAGTTTAAGTTCTACAATAATGCTACCTTATCTGTTCCTACAATGGCAGCCAGGTCTGGAGATAGCTGACATGGTTTGCTGTACCTGGACTGTCCTGGTAGAAAGGAAACACCTCAGATTATTACATCAACACATAAAAGATAGTAAGACATTTGACTCCACCATATTCGCAGTAACAAGGTTGTCACATCACTAAGACGTTTTTATTTTGATTGTTTTTCTTTTTAATTATAGCCCAAAATTGATATTTTTTCCTTTTTTGCATATTTTCTAATAACAGCTGACCAAGGTGATAATTGGACATGATATACATGATAAACTTAACTTTATAAACAAACATCTGTGGTATTATCAGACCAGTAAAATATGATTCAAGTAAATCTTTATGTAAATTATTACCTGGTTTGCTTCCCTTTTTCTTTTCTGTGCTTTTTGGTTTAGCTTTTGGCTAAAAAAGAATAGTTACTGACATCATTTACTCTGAATAGAAAAGACAATAAAAGTAAAATAGCACTCCAATAAAAAAATTAATCTATTCCAAATACAAATTATTTTTAAACCATTTTTTGACATCTAACATGGCAGTTATGTCTGGAAATCCACAGTTTTGTTATTAATTTAAAAGAGAGTCCATAGTTGTCCTAAACGTATGTAATTTGTACAGTTACCTTCTCTGAAAGTTTTGAAACCAAAACCATTCAGTAGACATGTTTAACACAAAAATAATGTTACTTTGTGGTATCTACCTAAAACAGTTTTAACCCTACCCCCCACCCCACCCCATCCCCAACAAGTAAATGGGGCACCTGCAATAATGTGGGTTTTTTCACTATAATGAATATGTATCATCGCATCCTCCTTAAATTATGAAAGTGGTATTTAAGCATTATTTAGAAAGAATAATAGTGTTAAATATCAATGTCAATATATGATAAGGTTGATCCCATTTTTGCTTTTTTCACATTACTCCTTTCCAAAACTTCAGCAGTATTTTCAATTTCTTTTAGTAACAGAGCTCAAAGAGTCTACTAAAGATTTTGCAATAGCAAATCAATAATTATACACAATTTTCTTACTGGGTTTCTTTTCACTGCTCTTGTTCTGGTTCTTCTTCCTGCAGATTCTTCTTCTTGGAGTTTCTTTGCCAATTTTTCATCATCTACCTATAAAGAAATCAATAGGAAATTGTACAAAAATAGCTTTCTGGTTAAAAGTCAATCTTTCTAAGTTTCTCTTACAGACAAAGGCATTTCAAAATGACTTTCCGTCAATTGGTAAACATAAAATTGAATCAAACTTATTATCCTCTCAAAATCTGAGATTCTAACACATTATATCAACAGTTAACTGTATTTAACTACCCCATCATCATCATCGTCATCGTCTTCATCTTCTGAGGAATTCTTGCTTGGTGTGGAGGGTTTGGTATTCTAAAGTAAAATGAAACAAAGGAAATGTAAGTGTTATTTTGCAAATAGCTGATATTTCACCAGCTAATAAATCAGACTTCTTCCATTAACAACTCCCCAGGAAGGGGTCAAAGGAGGAGGGGGGGGGGGGAACGTCTGACTATGCACACCTAGGGGGCACAATAGGCAGTCACATCTACCAAAGCCCCATTTCCTGTTGATGTCTGACAGTAAGCAGATCAAAGATTGACTAGTTAACAGTTAGTTTATTTCCCCAAGCTATAATTAAATTCTACTTTTCTATTAATACTACATGGCACATGAAACTATTCAATAACAAAATGTAACAAACAAACCCATTTATAAGTATCTAGCTCAGACACCTAAGGCTTCACTATAAAAAATAAAACATTTGAAATTCAAAACATCAAAAGTATGCAGTGTAAAGTACTTCAACTTAAATATCAATTGATAACTTGTTACTAATCACATTTACCCCCTTATTTACAATGTTTTTTCTTTCTTTTCATCATTTCTGGTCTGCTTATTATTATTATTATTATTATTATTATTATTATTATTTTTATTATTATTATGAGTTTGTCATCTGTTGGGGTAATTAAATAAAATCTTACTTTTCTGGCTGGGGTAGCTGTCTTTTTCTTCTTAGCCACTGGCTCTGGATCTGGCTATAGAAAGGAACAAAAGGTCAGTTACGCATATGGCTGGGATCATTTCAGTCAATATGTGACAAATATTCTGTATATGTTAGCTAGCTGTAACTCAAGGAGAAATGGACTCAAATGTTATCCCTTGTAACACAACACACAAATTTTTAATTTTTTTAAAAGCATGTATATCATAAATAAAATATCTACTTCTTCTGCCTCATCATCAAAATTTGACTTTTTTGTCTCATTTTTTTAACATGTATATCTTGAATAAAATATGTACTTACTGCCTCATCATCAGAACTTGACTTTATTGTCTCATTTTTTTAACATGTATATCTTTAATAAAATATGTACTTACTGCCTCATCATCAGAACTTGACTTTTTTGTCTCATTTTTTTTTTAAACATACAGATCTTGAATAAAATATCTACTTACTGCCTCATCATCAGAACTTGACTCTTGTTTTGTCCCATTCTGTTCAACAACTTTTTCTTCTTCAGTTTCTGTTTGGCTTTCTGTTTGACTGGAGTTTGTGATCATATCCATTACAATTTCATCTATTTCTTTTTTCCTGAAAACAAAAGTAATTATATGGCAACTATTACTATGTTGTTCCAAAGCTTTCTTCTTTTTGCTTTTGTCTGCCTTTCAGTTAGACTACAGTTTGCTATCATATTTATAATAATTTGAAGAATAGTTTCTTTGCTTTTTTTATATTGAATATGATACCTTGAGAATTCAATACCAAATATTTCAGATAAATTTATTCTCAAAACTTGGGATTTTTGTCTCAATTATAATTTATATAATCACATGAAAACTACTGCAATGGTAAAATATGTGTATTTACTGGTGAGCCTTTCCTGTGGTAAATTAACGCATTTCTAGGCCTCTCCAACCATGAACATATTTTTTCTCCGCCTCTCTTTCCAAGTCAATCTCTAAGCACTCGCAAACACACAAGCACATACAGAATACAGTTACATGTGCATGCTTACGCGCTAACAATTACACAAACACACTTTTTTAAAACTGCTTTTACAGTGGTTTGAAATCAAACTAGGTAAACTTGACTATGACATTTAACTTACCTCTCCGTGAGATCCACTTCATATTTTTCTTCAAGCTGTTTTCGGACCTTCTTTGATGACAATGAGGAGAGATCAGCGCCTTTCAAGATCTCTGAAAACACAAATTTTACACATTAAAACATTGCACACAAGTTCAACTTCATGGACTATGCTATGTCCTCACATAGCTATGTATAAGGTGAATGAAAACATAGCGTAAAAGTGTTTTGTTTACCTCCTATACTTCGCCGCAGCTCGGACTTATTCATCTCCGCCATGCTCCTGCATTCATTTGACCTTCACTTTATATGACCTATTTAAACGAAAGCATGAAACCTGGCTGTGCATTCATATGACATGAGTCGGTGTTGACTAATACTTGCATTCTACACAACCATGGATGCCAAGGTATTCAGATCTGAATTGTTAATTAAGTAGAGAGGAATATGAGTATTTTGGGTGAGAAAATGAGCTGTATAAATAATGAAAACGCTACACCATGGGCCATGCAGCATGCTACTACTGCAGTGTAGTTACTGGATGTACTATAGTTCTATATGTTGACCTTATGAAGTAGTGGTATATCAGTGAATTAAATTTTTCATCAATATGAATGTTATATTGCACCTCCTCACCAGCAACACAGTACACAAATGACACAATTTACCCTTTTTAAACAGATTTCACAGTCCTGTGTTTAATTGCATTGCATTATGTGCTCCCCCACCCCCATACATACCAAGGTATACCTAAATGGTAATATCTTCCTGTAATTTTGAGCATCATATATTTCTGTGTATTGATTGTCATTTCAAGATTGATTTTTTTTTTTATTTTTGTGATGTACGTTTTCTTACTGGTGTGTAAAACTAGAAATGTCAGTGATTTTCTCTCCAAATCTATGCACTGTTACAGGTAGAAAAATTCATTTTTCTTTTCAATTTACAGTGTGTGTGAACTTTATTTCTTTCAGTCTGAGTCTTTAAAAGAACAGGGTAATGAGTGTGTTAAAGCTGGGAAATATGAAGAGGCTATCTTACACTATAGCCATGCCATCAAAATACAACCAAATGATTACAAACTATACAGTAACAGGTAGGCGTTATTATTATTATTATCATTTTTGTTTTTTTTTTCAATTTATATCTTCATTTATGTATTCAAAAATCAGAAAATTATATATTTTTTTATTCTTGCTGGTGAACTTTAACAATTTTTATTATTATTATTTTTAATTTAGCTGACTCCATTTATCTTTTTACCCTGACTGAAATAATTCATTTTAGGTCCATGGCTTTTTTGAAAATTCAGCAGTATTACCATGCTTTACAAGATGCCTATGAAACAATTCGTCTGAAACCAGATTGGCCAAAGGTAAAAATGCCGTACATATTAGGAACTAGTAGATTGACATTTTGAAATACTTTTGAAATAGGTTACAAATGAAGTTTTTGACTTTCTTCAACTGTACAATCCTGTTAATAAAATGAATCAGTAATTTCTGACTTTTATTGAAGGGATACTTCAGGAAAGGTGAAGTTGAATTCCACACGGAGCATTATGAGACAGCATACATGTCTTACAAGGTGAGTTGTAATTACCAAAATAAGGGGACCATAACAGATGAAGGTTTTAATTACATCAGGGTCTGAATGCGCTGTTTGTTTGACTTGATAATTCAGATAAAATCTAATTATTAAAGCATAAAATATAGAGAAAGTTAAGATTGTTAGTATGAAGCCAAAAGAAACTACTGTTTGATATTGGCAATTTTTTATTTATTATTTTTATTAATAGAGAGCATATTCCTTGGACTCAGAAGATAAAACTCTGAAAGAGGCCATAGAAAAGACAAGTAAAGAATTGGTGAAAAAGATGAAAGGTATAAAGCCTTAAACAACTGTACTGTTAACACCACACTTCTTGACTTACCCAGTGCTAAGAAAAGAACCTTTCTGTTTGATTTATTTACTTCACTTAATGGAAAAATTCAATGATCCTTTGGGTTTTCCTATAATATCCTTGAGAAAATGAATGTTTTTGTTTTGAAAATAAAAAAAAGAGAAATTCATTGTTTGTTAGTTTTTGTCAATAGTTAGCAAGCAGACATACCATACATTGCAACTGTGTGCATATTAATTTTGTAGTCTTTGTTTCAGATTTTCAAACTTTCAAGACCCACCTGTTTTGAATTGAAGGTTTGCTTCATATTATTGATGTAATTGTTGTTTCAGCCCAGCAACGTCTGCCCTGGCTGGGTGTAGGAGGAGGGGTTTTAGTGGGTCTGCTCATTGTACTGGGGGACCTATTTCTAGCCAAGACGCCATTGCTGGGAAAGGTTGGTCACATCAGTATATATCATGTATGAACACACATATTATCCTCATTATGCCTAGTTAATGTTTTATACAAAACAAAAGTTTGATTGCTCTAATTAATATTTTGAAGCTTTTAATAAACCCTTTGCAAACTATTAAATTCAATTTATTTGAATTTATTTCTGTTTTGGTACATACTGTAGGTTATCATGACCTTGTACAATACAATATAATAATGCAATTTTTGCAATACCATTCTGTAATTGGCATTTGCATTACCAGTGTGTAAATTAACATAGATCTCTTTATATAAAATTCTCTGTTATATTCATACTACTTGCATATGCTAGTCCCATTATACAGGTTAAGCTATATTTGATGTCTGTTTTTCCTGCAGCTGTGTTTGGTGGTTGTATTTGCAGGAATTGGTCTTGGATTGGCTCATTTGCAAAGGCAAGTTATTGTCATTTCTAGAAAATAAAGACATGCAATAAAGTACTGCAGCTAGTGAATTGTTCAGGAACACAATTAAACTGAACAACTACTATGAGCACATGGGGATGTCATTTTGAAGGGTTTAATTGGATGAAAAAAGGTTTTTTAGAAATAAAATGTATCAATCACGAATCATTTAGCTATCTGTGAAGATTTTATATTTCATCTTGATTCAGGTGGTTTGTCCAGAGTCAAAGGGACTCCCTGCTAGAGCCTCCATTAGATTTCCTAGGTGAGGATGCAGTAGTTGTGACTTATTTGATTTAAGCACAATCAAATATATTATCCTCATCAGTGTCAATTTACAGATTTTTAGTATGCTGTGTTATGTGAGACCTGCGTGCAAAATCTTCATTTTTTAAATTTTTAAATCTCTCAGACATAATACAGAAACCTTTCAGCATTTGGAAATGACCTAAAAACACTGCTCATGGTGGAGTAAATCATATTAAAAAATTGAAAGGACGTGAAATATCTTGTTTTAGGTTATATTCATGTTGTTTTTATTTTTATTTTTCAGATTTTGCAGAAAAGAGTAATAATGCTCAAAATGAGACAGACCCTAAACCACACAATTTACGGAAACGAGGTGCCCAGACGGGGAAGAGAAAATACCAGAAGGGGAAAACTTAGCTACAATCCAGACAAAACTGATGTGAAAACTTTTTAAAAAAATATTTCAAATGGCCGTGAAAGACTAGTCCATTGAAATAGTTATCAGTTATCTTGTGAAATAGTGAAATAGAAATTTTATAGGTATGTTTCTGGAGGGTTTGTATGTCACCACAGTGGCCAGTCCCTGTACTTGAATTGGGTTGATAACATTATAGAGCGTAACAGTTAGCTCACTCAATACGTCATGATGCTTGACTTTTTTTGAAGGATGTTTCACCATTGCAAAATGTCAAGAACATAAAAATCCTTATTTTTAAATAAACTAATAAATCTGAATATTCATATAACATGTTGATAAACTGCGAAGAAGTTTTTTTTTTTTTTTTTTTTTTTTTTTTTGATGATTTTAACATAGATCCTATTAGATTTTTCTGTCGACTTGAAGTGCAATTCAGAAAAGTGTGGAAAATAACGGGGCTTGTAAGACAGTTTCTGAATATATTTTGACGTATTTAGAATAAAACTAACGAAGCAATTTTAAAATTTGAAGAAAATTATAAACAATAACCAAAGTGCCGAGAGCTCTAATAACTTACTTCTGTGGTTGATTTTGACATCATAGTTGAACAATCTTGGTTATGAATTCTGGATATTTTTGTCCGTTTTCAAAGAAAGGTGCGCTGTCCGCAAGTATCTAATGCACAACAATGCATGCAACACAACAAAATGAGGTATAAAATAAATGAAATTGAATACGTAAAACAAAGAATGAATGAATAGATAAGTACACTGTTAAACTTTTTTTACATACATAACAGAAATAAAGTGCCAAAAAATTTGTTTGGTCATTATTTAGCTAGCTATGCCCTGCATAGCTGCATTTTCTCTCCGTAGTAGACTAGCGGCATTCCAGGTTTTTCAGGTTTAATCATTTATTTATTGATAATATATATATATATATATATATATATATATATATATATACGAATTCGACTAAACAGCGTAGTTTTCGCGAGCTGTGCTCAAAATTGGTAAACCATAGCGTTCGTGTCACGAGTCGCTCCGGAAAGTGTGTGAAAGCATGACGCTTATCGGCTGACTCAGGTTTGCGCACAATATGATTTTATTCTTTTTATTATTGTAACATGATTATTTAGTAATAAAGTTATATCTTGTATGACAACTTAGTATGGTTTGTTTTAGGTGCACCAATTCAAACTAAAGACAACTAAAATGGTGAAACTTATGGGTGCAAAGTAGATAACGGCTGTAATATGCATAGCTGGGAATACATGTACACAATAATAATAATAATAATAATTTAAATAAATAAAAAAAAACAGGGGATGATATAAAATAAACAAATGTAAGGACATATGTAACACAAATATTGAACTTATAGAAAATAATTTAGCATAGTGTGAAATATACATGGGCCCTGTAAATAACCCGCCAAGGTGAATGAAAGATGGAGTAGATTTCTATGAACCGTGGATCATGTACTTTAATTTCCATCCTTCACAGAATAGAATTTACAGACGTGCGGCAGTGAGCTGGATGAACGTTTCAGACAGACATGATTTGTTTTTAATAATGATATTTACATCATACTCCTCACGATAAAAAAATATCCATTTGTCTTAGGGTAACGGGGCTTTGATTTTGTTTCTGAAAATTGAATTAACCTGAGAATTCAAATAAGTAGATTTTTTCTACTGACATCGTGAAAACAGAGTTAACCACAGGATTAAAAACCTCAGAAAATAAAAAGAAAGTTCCTCATGCCGCAGGCACACTTAGTTTTCTAAGGCATTGTTTCTTCATGATTTAGAAAAGTCGATAACACATTATACCACAAACCATCGGTCGTATTCGAAATCAGACAGTAGAATAAATACGGTGTTTTCTTCCAGTTGTCTTTTAATCAAGGATATTATCTCTTATGCATAGCCATCGTGCGTATTAAAACTTTCAAAACTCGTAACGACGTGCTGCCGATGGCGAAAAATTGGCTTATAAAACTGACTGCGTGGGTTTGTGACGGGGAACAAAGCTAGCAACGTCATAAACATGTATGCTGTCTTGAACTTCGGCAATATCCAGAAAATTGCTGGCTTAGCAGAGATGATGCCGACGGACAGAAATAAATTGGAAGTCTTATATCAAGCCTCCCTCAATCAGAAAGGGATTATCCGCGCACGCCGTACATCAATCATCACAGTTCAATAAGGCAACGTTAAAACGTGTACTGAGTTTGTCTGTTNTATTAAAGCATAAAATATAGTGAAAGTTAAGATTGTTAGTTTGAAGCCAAAAGAAACTATTGTTTGATATTGGCAATTTTTTATTTATTATTTTTATTAATAGAGAGCATATTCCTTGGACTCAGAAGATAAAACTCTGAAAGAGGCCATAGAAAAGACAAGTAAAGAATTGGTGAAAAAGATGAAAGGTATAAAGCCTTAAACAACTGTACTGTTAACACCAAACTTCTTGACTTACCCAGTGCTAAGAAAAGAACCTTTCTGTTCGATTAATTTACTTCACTTAATGGAAAAACTCAATGATCCTTTGGGTTTTCCTATAATATCCTTGAGAAAATGAATGTTTTTGTTTTGAAAATAAAAAAAAAAGAGAAATTCATTGTTTGTTAGTTTTTGTCAGTAGTTAGCAAGCAGACATACCATACATTGCAACTGTATAAATATAAATTTTGTAGTCTTTGTTTCAATTTTCTGAAACACCTTCAATAACTGCCTTGTTGGAATTGAAGATTTGCTTCATGTTATTGATGTAATTGTTGTTTCAGCCCAGCAACGTCTGCCCTGGCTGGGTGTAGGAGGCGGGGCTTTAGTGGGTCTGCTCATTGTACTGGGGGACCTGTTTCTAGCCAAGACGCCATTGCTGGGGAAGGTTGGTCACATCAGTATATATCATGTATGAACACACATATCAGGCCCGTAGCCAGCAATTTCAAAAGGGGGGTTTGTTTTCTGAAAAGTGGACCTTTTTCCATAAAAACGTCATGTACCTAGATCAAATTTTACTCAGAGTGGACCTTTTCCCAGCAAAAGGGGCGGTTCTTTCGAACCCCCCGAACCCCCCCTGGCTACAGGCCTGCATTTTATCCTCATTATGCCTAGTTTATGTTTATACAAAACAAAAGTTTGACGGCTCTAATTAATATTTTGAAGTTTTTAATAAATCCTTTGCAAACTATTAAATTCAATTTATTTGAATTTATTTCTGTTTTGGTACATACTGTAGGTTATCATGACCTTGTACAATACAATATAATAATGCAATTTTTGCAATACCATTCTGTAATTGGCATTTGCATTACCAGTGTGTAAATTAACATAGATCTCTTTATATAAAATTCTCTGTTATATTCATACTTCTTGCACATGCTAGTCCCATTATACAGGTTAAGCTATATTTGATATCTGTTTTTCCAGACTTTCATCCTGCAGCTGTGTTTGGTGGCTGTATTTGCAGGAATTGGTCTTGGGTTGGCTCATTTGCAAAGGCAAGTTATTGTCATTTCTAGAAAATAAAGACATGCAATAAAGTACTGCAGCTAGTGAATTGTTCAGGAAAACAATTAAACTGAACAACTACTATGAGCACATGGGGATGTCATTTTAAAGGGTTTAATGGGATGAAAAAAAGGTTTTTAGAAATAATATGTATCAATCACGAAACATTTAGCTATCTGTGAAGATTTTATATTTCATCTTGTTTCAGGTGGTTTGTCCAGAGTCAAAGGGACTCCCTGCTAGAGCCTCCATTAGATTTCCTAGGTGAGGATGCAGTAGTTGTGACTTATTTGATTTAAGCACAATCAAATATATTATCCTTATCAGTGTCAATTTACAGATTTTTAGTATGCTGTGTTATGTGAGACCTGTGTTCAAAATCTTCATTTTTTTAATTTTTAATTCTCTCAGACATAATACAGAAACCTTTCAGCATTTGGAAATGACCCAAAAACACTGCTCATGGTGGAGTAAATCATATTAAGAAATTGAAAGGACGTGAAATATCTTGTTTTAGGTTATATTCATGTTGTTTTTATTTTTATTTTTCAGATTTTGCAGAAAAGAGTAATAATGCTCAAAATGAGACAGACCCTAAACCACACAATTTACGGAAACGAGGTGCCCAGACGGGGAAGAGAAAATACCAGAAGGGGAAAACTTAGCTACAATCCAGACAAAACTGATGTGAAAACTTTTTAAAAAAATATTTCAAATGGCCATGAAAGACTAGTCCATTGAAATAGTTATCAGTTATCTTGTGAAATAGAAATTTTATAGGTATGTTTCTGGAGGGTTTGTATGTCACCACAGTGGCCAGTCCCTGTACTTGAATTGGGTTGATAACATTATAGAGCGTAACAGTTGGCTCACTCAATACGTCATGATGCTTGACTTTTTTTGAAGGATGTTTCACCATTGCAAAATGTCAAGAACATAAAAAATCCTTATTTTTAAATAAACTAATAAATCTGAATATTCATATAACATGTTGATAAACTGCGAAGAAGTTTTTTTTTTTTGATGATTTTAACATAGATCCTATTAGATTTTTCTGTCGACTTGAAGTGCAATTCAGAAAAGTGTGGAAAATAACGGGGCTTGTAAGACAGTTTCTGAATATATTTTGACGTATTTAGAATAAAACTAACGAAGCAATTTTAAAATTTGAAGAAAATTATAAACAATAACCAAAGTGCCGAGAGCTCTAATAACTTACTTCTGTGGTTGATTTTGACATCATAGTTGAACAATCTTGGTTATGAATTCTGGATATTTTTGTCCGTTTTCAAAGAAAGGTGCGCTGTCCGCAAGTATCTAATGCACAACAATGCATGCAACACAACAAAATGAGGTATAAAATAAATGAAATTGAATAAGTAAAACAAAGAATGAATGAATAGATAAGTACACTGTTAAACTTTTTTTACATACATAACAGAAATAAAGTGCCAAAAAATTTGTTTGGTCATTATTTAGCTAGCTATGCCCTGCATAGCTGCATTTTCTCTCCGTAGTAGACTAGCGGCATTCCAGGTTTTTCAGGTTTAATCATTTATTTATTGATAATATATATATATATATATATATATATATATATATATATATATATATATATATATATATATATATATACGAATTCGACTAAACAGCGTAGTTTTCGCGAGCTGTGCTCAAAATTGGTAAACCATAGCGTTCGTGTCACGAGTCGCTCCGGAAAGTGTGTGAAAGCATGACGCTTATCGGCTGACTCAGGTTTGCGCACAATATGATTTTATTCTTTTTATTATTGTAACATGATTATTTAGTATCTTGTATGACAACTTAGTATGGTTTGTTTTAGGTGCACCAATTCAAACTAAAGACAACTAAAATGGTGAAACTTATGGGTGCAGAGTAGATAACGGCTGTAATATGCATAGCTGGGAATACATGTACACAATAATAATAATAATAATAATTTAAATAAATAAAAAAAAACAGGGGATGATATAAAATAAACAAATGTAAGGACATATGTAACACAAATATTGAACTTATAGAAAATAATTTAGCATAGTGTGAAATATACATGGGCCCTGTAAATAACCCGCCAGGGTGAATGAAAGATGGAGTAGATTTCTATGAACCGTGGATCATGTACTTTAATTTCCATCCTTCACAGAATAGAATTTACAGACGTGCGGCAGTGAGCTGGATGAACGTTTCAGACAGACATGATTTGTTTTTAATAATGATATTTACATCATACTCCTCACGATAAAAAAATATCCATTTGTCTTAGGGTAACGGGGCTTTGATTTTGTTTCTGAAAATTGAATTAACCTGAGAATTCAAATAAGTAGATTTTTTCTACTGACATCGTGAAAACAGAGTTAACCACAGGATTAAAAACCTCAGAAAATAAAAAGAAAGTCCCTCATGCCGCAGGTACACTTAGTTTTCTAAGGCATTGTTTCTTCATGATTTAGAAAAGTCGATAACACATTATACCACAAACCAACGGTCGTATTCGAAATCAGACAGTAGAATAAATACGGTGTTTTCTTCCAGTTGTCTTTTAATCAAGGATATTATCTCTTATGCATAGCCATCGTGCGTATTAAAACTTTCAAAACTCGTAACGACGTGCTGCCGATGGCGAAAAATTGGCTTATAAAACTGACTGCGTGGGTTTGTGACGGGGAACAAAGCTAGCAACGTCATAAACATGTATGCTGTCTTGAACTTCGGCAATATCCAGAAAATTGCTGGCTTAGCAGAGATGATGCCGACGGACAGAAATAAATTGGAAGTCTTATATCAAGCCTCCCTCAATCAGAAAGGGATTATCCGCGCACGCCGTACATCAATCATCACAGTTCAATAAGGCAACGTTAAAACGTGTACTGAGTTTGTCTGGTGAAAATATTCATTATGCTATTTAGGCTCTACGCTGGTCGAAAATGTCTGTTCTTTCTGAGCATACAGTTTTCGTAGATTTCTAAATCTGTACAGATGTTGCCCTTAATGTCTGTTTTGTGTAGTATAATTAAAAAAAACTATGGGCACGTTTTGCGTCTGCTAGACTTTTTTTTTTCATTTCGTCGATATGATATTCCAGTTTACTTGGGGGTAGGGGGAGCAAATGAAAATCGTTAAATGTTTTGAAGGCTTGGATCTGCCACTGAGGCATAATGTCTGAGAGCTGTTAAACTTATTATTTTCAAAGTTTGAATCAATTTAATTTTTAATCAAGTCAAAGATTTAGTTCCTGAAATGTAGTATAATTGACAATTGAATTTTATTTTCCTTTATTATTGTCATTAATGAAGATCATGTCGCAAGTAAATTTTTTGAAAACGATCTTTATTTATTTTGACTTAAAAACAATGGTAACCAAAGTTCCGTGTAATCTTTCCATTAACATCAGATTTGAGGCATTTTTTTTCGCCAATCGATTCAAGCATATTTATAGAAACTACGTGAAAAAAGAAGAAACGCGTAGGCTGACATCCCTATGAAAAATCTTTGGATGCTATTCCAAGTTAATTCTACGTCTTTGCATCATGATTGCCGCAAGCTAGATTCGATTGATACAGATATTAGCATTGGTAATTAATCCTCAGCCTGCCGGGGTATATATGCAGGGGTTTAACCGTAGTTCTATCATCTCCAGTATTGCGTGGGACACAAGGCGTGGGTTGTTGTCCGGAGTCTATATACACTTTGTCCAGCACATGACTCATCCCAGGTGAACGCCGTGGACAGTGAATGCATTTACTAGAGAACATCCGACAAGGTGGACGTAAAACCTTCGAGGGGTGGACCCTAATTTTTCGCACCAGAGAAAAGAAACGTTCGGCCATCTTTTCGTCTTCTGGTTGAGTTTTTGTTTCAAAAACGTTGTTAATTTTAAACGATACGTGTTTGAAATTAGTTTTTTCTTTAGAAAAGATTTCTTATTTTCAAAGAAAACCACATAAAATACGAATTCACCATGGCGTCATCACCAAAGAAAAATGGCTCGGCAGTGGACAGGAAAATATACGGCCGCCGTCGCTGCACCAGCGTGGCCACCTTCAGCGAGAAAGACCTTGAGATGGCGGAACACAACCCGGGATTGCTGAAACTGGAGGTAATAAGATTTGTAAAAAATGACCAAAGGCTTTTTAAATCAGCTTATAATTTTTGCGGAAACTTGACTGCAATTTTAAATCATGCGATTTCAAATCATGCTGTGACTTTAAAGAATGACAAAAAGGATATCTTTAAAATATTATTATGAGATATTTATGACAATGGTTCTTGAATAGGCGTAATAGTTCTTTTTTATTTGCGTTTAGATAATCCGGCTAAAATATTGGGAAAACTGTTTTTACTAGTTTATGAACTACATCTTTACATTGTGAGGTCTCTCCAGGAAGGTTTTCGTACCTGAAAAATAAAAATGTTACGAATCTAATTTGTGGAAAGATGTTAATGTTTATTTTGTGTTATATAAATGCATTTCTTTTTCCATATTTTATTTCCTTCGCTAAAAATTAAAGCACAAGATAATTTGTGTAATAATGTGTATGTAATATGGATATTATAGCTGAATGTCAATACAGGTAAACTATCATTTAATTATTATATACGTTATATTTATATGTATATAGATATTATAGCTGAATAGCAAAACAGGCAAATTATTTCATTTTACTTTCCTGGTATTTTCTATACTTTTCATTAAAAGACCAATAACATTATGGCCGTAAACAATATCTGAAACGTATTTAATGAAAAGTTTGAAACAAATGTCAAAACAAGCAAAAAAGGACTGTTTTCAGAACCGAAAGATTGAAGTCATGTTTCCTGATAAGCACAGTCAATGCCATGTAGGGACGGGTGCCCCTACATCGTGCGACGCTTGAGATAGTCAAAGCGTTTCACAAATTAAACTATATACAAGCACTCACAATGTTTTTAATTAACTGCCCAGGACTAGACATTCATTTTCAATCTTTTAGGCGTAAGGTGTTGCTTAGTTTGTGTGTTTTTTCATTATCCTTCAAGGAAGCTCGAGAAGATGTTGGTCTTCATGTTACCAGTTTGAAAAGCGTGTGTTTGTCTTGCTTTGGACATAATAATAACAAAATGACCTTTACAAGTTTCTAGCAAACTGGTTTCTTAAGGTTGAAGAGCCTCTTTCTAAAATACTCTCTCGTGGCATCATTTTAAGGAGGTGTATTTTCGCCCTTTGTTGATACTAAGTTAAAATTCCAGTAATTCATGAAAAAAAAAAAAAAAAAAAAAACTGAAGTTGTTAAAAATTCATTGTTTTGCCACAAGTTGCAAAGGACACCTACTCTTTTTCATTAATATTTATTTCCAAACAGGCATTAGTCCTACAGTGTATATGTCAAGATAGCATGTGTTCTGTCCACACTAATCAGCCCTATAATATTAACTCCATTCTTTTCAGAATAACAAATACAGAAATACAATAGAAACGTTGCATGTACCAACGAATACTGATAAAATAATTGTTACGATTGGGAATAATTTAATAAAAATGTTTTTTGTTTTATGACAGAACTTGGGAAAACCAATATTATAGAAGTCTTTGACTGTATGCTACCCTTAAGATATTAATTATGACAGGCACCTCAACAAAAATCCAAATGTTTGATAAACTAGTGGTCTACTCTTCGTGTCCATATTTAAAAACTTATCATATCAAGTGCACAGTATCTTAACTTGTTATTTTCCAGCATAAGTTGAAGATCTTGAAAGAGGAACAAAAGGATGCATTGCTGGCGGAGACGAATTCTTTGGTGTTTTGTCTGAACAACCATGTTGGCGGGCTGGCCAAAGCCCTGAACGTGTTTCAGGTAGTAAGTTTTGTCTTACTATTTAATTTTATATGTTAACCGTAGAGCAACTGTCCAAAAATGTCCAAAAATGAACTCTGGGAGGTTTACATACGAAATTGCTTCAAATACCATTGGAAATTAGCAATGGATCAGTATCAGTAGCTACTGACTGAAGCATGTAAAGTTAATTTCTTTGGATTCTGTGACTGCTTCCACAATAATGATTTTAAGACATAAGATATAAGCCATATATGTTTTACTTGCCATACAACCTTTTACTTGCTGAAGTTTTTTGAAAATAAATTCTGAAAGTTAAACAACCTTTCGGCGTGGTGACGAGGTAGGAAGTACAAAGCAATACAAATACGAATTAACATAACAAACTGACAATGCCAATATAGTACTATAGATATATAAGGTTATGTGTCCAATTCAGGAGTACGGCGTAAACGTCGTACACATCGAATCACGTAAATCCCGCAAAGCGGATGCTGAATACGAGATCTACGTGGACATCGAGAGTGACAACCCCACCTTGTCGAGCGTTGTGTCCAGTCTGGAGAACGAGGTGTCCATGATAGCGTTCCACGCCGACAAGGAGTTGCCGCCATCCACTCCTGTTGACAAAAACGGCAAGGAAGGTGAGCATCTCTCTCGCAGTATGTCTTCATAAACGCTCTCCAGTGCAGAGCCAAGCAAAAATAAAGTAGCCTACATGTATCTAGAGAGTTTTCAATTATGTTTTGGCTCAACCTACATTCTGCTCTCATCTTTGAGCTATACAGTAGTAAATCTTATCGAAATAAATGAGTTTAAAACATGTGTAATATAAAGCTTTCCTTCACTTATTACTTTTTTTACATAGTGACGATGGTCCCCTGGTTTCCTAGAAAAATCTCAGAACTTGATAAAACTGCCAACAGAGTGTTGATGTATGGCACAGAATTAGATGCTGATCATCCGGTAAGCATCCATCCGTCACTATTAAATGTCATAACACATTTACTTTTCGTTGAAAGGTAAACCAGACTGCTGCGTTCATCTAAACTTTTTCTACCTTAATGGCAAGATTTAAACAAAAAGTGACAATTGATGGCAACAGGAAAGGACCTGGACTATTTATTTAATACGTTCGTTATATATAAATAGAAAATAATTTGAAGTAACATCAAACAAAGGCTAAAACTCTGGTTAAATTTTCCTTGCCAGGGTTTCAGAGACAACGTGTACAGAGAAAGACGCAAGTACTTGGCAGATCTGGCGAGAAACTTCAAACAGTAAGAGTGATATCCCGTAGAACTTAAAAGTATCGCGTCAGTGTTGGCTTCAGTCCCATCAGTGTGTTAAACTGAATGGAAAATAAGAAAACTGTTTTCCAAGTAATGTTTTCTCACAGACAGGAAATTAACGATTGTGTTTGTCAATTACATCTCGGTATTTATAAGCAAGGCCATTAGATGTGCCCTGAAACGGTCGGAACAAATGTTCCTTAATACTTCTATAATTGAGGACAGAAAGTTAATATCCCGCAGTATCGATCCCATAAAACAGGCGCGTCGAGCAGATTTAGACTAAGAACCCTCAAACTGTTCCATCATCCGAGTTAGATATGTTTATCCTTGAATGAATTCATATTTATCTGTATTTAATTGATCTTTGTTTGAGGGCAAATGTGACGCTAAGAAGCTGTCGTTTTCATTACAGCGGAGATCTCATACCGAGGGTTCAATACACGGAGGAAGAAATTAAAACATGGTATGAACCAAGAAAGAAATAGACTGTAACTGTCAAGTAGAATGTATTAATTTTTTTAAAAGGAAGAAGGATTTACTGTAGTCCATTTTCTTCAAAGTTGATGGAATACACTGTGCATCATTATGCCCCTATTTCACACAGACCACGAATCCCACGAATGGCCATGAATTGGCAAATTTCACGATTCGTGGTTGAATCGTAATCAGTTCGTGAAGTTCTTAACAGATTCGTATATATTCGTAGTCAGTTCTTGCACTTCTTGACCAACAGGAATTGGTGGCAAAAACTTTGATACCCCTATTTCACACAGACCACGAATCCCACGAATCGCCAGGAATTGAAAATTTCAGGATTCGTGGTTGAATCGTAATCAATTCGTGAAGTTCTTAACAGATTCGTATATAATCGTAGTCAGTTCTTGCAATTCTTGATCAATCAGGAATTCGTGGCAAAATTTTCGAGCTGTTCAAAGTTTTGGCTACGAATTCCCGATTCCAAAAAAATCGTAGTGAATTTCTGGACAATATTCGTGCGATTCCAGCCGAATCCCACGAATATTCGTTACACTATCGCACCTGTATCGTAACTGAATCGTAGAGCGTGTCAAATTAGACCACAAAATTGGCAAAATCTCACGAATCCTGAAATTTGTCAATTCCTGGCGATTCGTGGGATTCGTAGTCTGTGTGAAATATGGGCCTCAGAAAACCTTTCATCTATCTGCAGACTTGGCATTCAGAACAAAAAAGCTATTGTTGTGTATCAGCTTCAAATGTTTAAAATTAGAAAAAAAGGGAAGAAAGAATACTTCAAATCTGGAGAACTCTAAAATTTAAAGAACGATACAGAAAACGCATTTATTCACACTTTTTTGAATAAATGGATATCGCGAAGGCATAGGCATTAAGAGGGAAATTAAAATGCATGATCAAAATCCGTTTTGATGATGTGCCTTAAACTTCATGTCTATTATTTCTCTGTTATTTTCTTCAATCAATACATCACGCTACATATGTAAAAAGGAAAACCTCCTTATGCATGCGTTAACATCTAACCAGATGTTAGGGACACTGATAGTTTGATTCCATCAGTGAGGCATCCGGCAGGAACAGCGGCAAAATTCCAACGCAAAATTACGCAAAAAAATAATAAATAAATAAAGATACAAGTTTGATTAATAGGTAGGAATAAAATCTGAGGCACGAGACTTCATGCCATCCTGTTTTAGATCTTTGTTCTGCAAAGGAACATGACTGTGGCATTATTTTGGTTAGAACACTGGTGTACAATAAAGCGGTACATTCAGTCGTTGCTGGGATACACAAGCATAACATGAAAACAACACGCATTTTTTTATTATTAATATTATTATTGCACACCAAAATAGGGTGCTTTTTTGAGCTAAAAAGCCTGTACATAAAACAGCTGATTAGCTTTCAATTAGTTAAACTGCATGCAGGTCATCCCCCCTCGTCTTTTACATGTAATTGATAGGGATAGAATATTATTTTATCATGTCGCAAAGAAAAGCATTAAATAAAGATGTCAAAAAATGTCAAGTCTGTGGTCACTTTACGCCTTTATCATTTTAACTTTTAAAAAAATTACAGTATCAAATCTGCTTTCAGTGCACGTGTTACTGAAAGAAATCAGTTTGATTAATTATTCTGTATCAACGTTTAGAAATTTAGCCTCAAAGTAATACTGGAACAGCCTACTTTTAACTCCCCGTCTAACGCCTTTTTATCACCGACCAGCATTTTGAAAACAAAATATCTTATTTGAAATAACTTTACCTTTGCAGGGGCACCGTATTCACCGAGCTTACTAACCTTTATCCAACTCACGCGTGCAGAGAGCATTTGGCCAATCTTCCACTCTTAATCCACTACTGTAACTACAGGTAAAATAATGAAATATATATTATTATCAAACTGCTTTGATAAATGTTTGTCCTCTAAGTTAGATCATGTTGAAATAATCATGCTACGAGTACAAACATCGTTTCTTTTTGCAGTGGCAAGTTAAGACAGGAATTCGTGTATGACCTTTTTCGCATATGAAATGTGAAGAAAAGCAAAAATTATGTTTCTGTGACATTTCAGGGTGGACAATATCCCTCAATTGGAAGACATTTCTAGATTTTTGAAAGGTAATTTACAGTACATCAATACAAAACTAAGCCTCCGAGCTATGGATATGGACGAAATAAAAGCATATAAAAAACCCATTAAGAGTTTGGTCAAACCGCATGTTTCTATAAGTTTTTTTGCGACAGCCAAGTTCAAACATAATTAACCAAATCTGTTCACCCTGGTTGCATTATTTTAAAAGCAAGAGAACAACGGTCCATGTAAGTCAAGTTGAATATATCTAATCTGCAGTATTACTGAAATAAGTAATCGCCTTTTCTTTTTGCTTTTTAGAACGCACAGGATTCCAGCTGCGCCCTGTGGCTGGCTACTTGTCATCACGTGATTTTCTGGCTGGCCTCGCTTTCAGAGTTTTCCACTGTACGCAGTATGTACGTCACAGCTCGGACCCTCTCTACACACCGGAACCGTGAGTATCACGTTTAGCAGACATGTGAAAATGGAAAGAAATATCGGAAAACAAAGCATAAATGTGTTGATATACCAGTACTAAGGGGTTGGAAATGGTGTTGAAATTTCATACACAGTAAGATTTTTTCTCTATTTCGTACTTCTACAGGCAAGTCCAGACTGATGTAACAATAAATCAGTATATGAAAAATTACACAGGATAATTCCTGCAATTAGAATCATGAAAATGAAGGTTGCGGAAATTCTCCCTCAAAGCCCAATGCCAATTTTTAAAATTATTTACTATCTAGTGGGAACGAGAGTGCCACTTTATTTGGTGAACAGCCTGGAGAAAACGAGAGATAAAATATTACAGCTACAGAATACTAAGCATCGTATTCACAGTTTCAATAATGATCATGAGATCACACTAATTTAAAAAAAATCTTTTGTCATAAGAATCTACCTTTTTCCTGATTAAGCCGTCAAGCCGCCCACTACAGATAATGTGAACAGTCGGATAAGTCTGACGATAAGACAAGTGATGGAATTACATTCTTACACTTGGTTGTCCATTGTAGGGACTGCTGTCATGAAATTTTAGGCCATATGCCACTGTTGGCGGACCCTAGCTTCGCGCAGTTTTCCCAGGAAATCGGCTTAGCGTCCCTCGGGGCCTCAGATGAAGAGGTGCAGAAATTAGCCTCGGTAATTATCCCCTGGCTGTGCATTTACTCAATATTGTCTTTTCTTGTTCTTAATCCAAATGTTATCAAGCGTTTGTGAAGCAAGGTAAACATATTTAACGCAAAGTGCTAACTGTTTTTGTATATCTATGTATAAACATTTTCCCCTTTTGCAGTGTTACTTCTTCACCATTGAGTTCGGGGTGTGCAGGCAAGATGGCGAACTGAGGGCATACGGGGCAGGGCTGCTCTCCTCCATTGGGGAACTTAAGGTAGTGTTTTTATTTCAAACAATTATACATTAAATAGCAATGAAAATGTGCATTTTATATCAAGGTCATAGCTTTTATTTATTTTCATCATATTTATACGCACAACTTAAACTTAAACAAAAGAAACTAATATCTATTTTTTTCATTTCGAGAATAATATTTAATAAATTGACCTTCAGTAAATGGATAATGGAAATTGTGTGAATTTTAGCACGCCTTGCAGATGTCAGAGAAAATAAGAAAGTTTGATCCAATCAACGCAATTGAACAGGAGTGCCTGATCACCACCTACCAGGACGGATACTTCTACACTGATAGCTTTGAGGACGCTAAGGAGAAAATGAGGTAAAAAATTTGTTTGGAGTAAGTCATAAATCCATTGTAACGAAACTGAGGGTCCATGTAACAGAAAGTCCGCCCTTTGTAACAGAAAGTCCAGTTATAATTATAATGGTTAGGGTTAGCCTGGCCTAAGTGGCTCAAAATCAAGGGTGAGGCTTACCTGTACAAATGAATGGGAAGCGAACTCTCTGTCATGGGGGACTCTCTGTCACGTTGCACCGGAACCAGACCAGGAGGTGAATAAACGCATTAACTACAAGTCTGTATGAAATATGTTTAATTCTACAAAGGGTGCCTTGTCGTAGACGTTATTTCAAAGAGGAATGATTGGTTGTTACGCGCAAGCTGCCTGTCACTTTAAATCAAAAGTTACAGCCATTAAAATGTAACCAGCATAAACCATGTCCAAATGACGTAATAGTGTAACTTGCATAAAGTTATCCCTGCGCAAATTAAGTTATAACGTAACCGCAAATGGCTTAATAATGGACATTTCATTGTAATACATGTAATACATGGGATATTATAAAATTAACGCAAATTTCATTGAATAAAAACAATATTATTAGTGCTGTGAATCGTTTTTCTAAAACTAATAGTTGCAATTTTAAAAGCGAGACAAATGAGTGAAAAAAAAACAAAAAAATTGTTCCCAGAACTTCTGGAAATTCCATATTTTTCAAGCAATCATATGCATAATCCAAATTCTTTTGAATTCATGATAAAGAGAAGTTCAGTATTGATCTAAACTCGTTGGACTTATTACAAATGTCAAATGGTAAAAGATTACAGATGAAATTAACCACCGCCATCGAAATATAGGTGCCAGGAAAGCAGAATACATATGATTTGATTTTTTCACCCTTTCAGACAGTTCGCGATGACCATCAAGCGTCCGTTTGCGGTGAGGTATAACCCTTACACACAGAGCGTGGACGTCCTGGACAGTGCCCGTCAAATAGCCATTGTAGTCAACGAGCTCAAGGGAGATCTCTGCATCATCAGCGACGCCGTCAAGAAGTTAAACAAGGATAAAGACGGGGAAACTGAGAATGTCTTCAACTACTGAGTCTTTTTTTTTTTTTTTACTTTTTTTCTCGTCACTGCTTATTCGCAGAGAGTGAGGACTCAATGGCGATGCTTGAACAATCCCATAACAGTTTCTTTTTTCTTTTTTTTAAATTTATCTTTCTTTTTTAAGGTGTACGGGGGGGGGGGGGCAGGTGCAGCGCATCCAGTTCATGTAAACCCTTTGGTATTTCCATCCCCGTGATCAAATATACTGAAAAACATTCAAAGATCTAAGTGGAACTGGGTCTCTAGCATCGAGGTCCACGAGCACCAGACCCCCTAGAATGCCCCCTTATTTAGTTCTGTACGCTCCGAGTGAGACTGACGACCCCATAACGAAAAAAATTCCATTGAGATCTAAAAAGTATGTTCAAAATGTTCTGATATACCCCGGATTTCACCATCTCCAAAATGGAAAAATATTATGGTAATTCCTGGTCAAGCATGCCCCCTACCAACTTAGAGTAACAATTACCTGTATTCGCTCAAACTAGAATTGATGGGGTGTGTGAGAGAAAAGTGAGATTTTGCGATAAGAAATTATTTAATAATCTAGTGGTTGTTTATTTGAAAGATGAGCATATTGCTACCACGTGTCGGTTGCAGACAACATTAGTCACAGGCGGATTTAGGGCGTCTTCTGAGTCTTCCGGAAGACGGTCAGATTTTTAGGTTTACGGAACAACAAAGACAATTTGGAAGACTCAAAAAATATCTCTGAATCCGCTCCTGATAAGTGAATTGGTTTACTTCCAGACATTAAATACTATTTGCTGCTTTATTCTATAAATTATGGAGCCCTATTACATTTAAAAACTGATAATCATCTTGCTTATTATGCGACCTTATTTGCTTTGTTTAGCTCTTTCCATGTAAGGCTTATGTGTGTTTTATTCTAGAAATAAAAATGTTTGCCAAATTTGTCTGACAAAATTAGTGGATAACTATTTAAGCATGATATTTCCACATCCCACATGATACCGAGTAATTGGAGTGAATAAAAATAAATGCCATGTTCAAACTTCAGTTTTACGAGTGAAAGTGAACGATAATTATGCGTATACTACATTACCAGAGCGCGATGCAGTGCGAGTCCATTTACTCCTGTTTTCTAGAAAAAAAAATTAATCCAAGAATCTATAAATTTGAATAGGGCCCTTTAAATGCCTGTATTGAACAGCGCTGAAACGCTGCTGTCTGACATACATTTTAACTTAATGATCGAAACATACAATGGTTAAACTTTGAAAACACAACAATCTTTCTTTACTGTCAGCATTTCAATAAACTTAAAAAGTAAATAAAAATAAATAATGTAGATACGTAACAACATTCTGAAGTGGTAGTAAGTCCATATCAAGACCAAGCTACATAGGTTTAAGGTGATATTTCAAATCATAAAATCAAAGCATAAATTGTATGAGAGGCTCTCATACAACAAATATACAACACGTATTTTTGTCCGTGTATATCGAATAGGCCTACGTACATTACAATGACCTTACCAGGCTGTACATTTATAGCCCGATGTGCGATAAGCGTTCTTTACTCGAGCGAATTAAAATTATTAACACATCGATTGCGTTTTCAGCACTCTGAATATTAACTGCCCAAAAGATGTAGACTGCAACAGGCAGAGAGTAGGCTATAAGAGCAGTTCATTTAAAATCACTAATAATTATCCACTCGCTGGCCACCATCGGAAACGTCCACTTGGGCACAGGCTACCGCACAAGTAGCTTTAACCGCATTGGCCTATACATGAAGGTAGGCCTAAGGTTTTTAGTTGCCTCTTCAGCCTCTTAACAGCGAGCTAAAAATCCATTCACTATGGGTGCCGGTAGGCCTACCTTTGTTGATTGCGTAATACCTGATTGTGTGTACACTGCGCATAAACTCTGAGCCTAGCTTTGTCTTTGTATTCACAGTGACATAACAAACATCCGCCATTACACATAGCCTATCTTGATACAACCACGCGTTACAAAATTGCGGCCTCTGGTAAATTAAAGTGTTTTCGCGTTTCACATTCAATGCAAGATACATTCAAATCAATGCCAACTTAATTCGCCAGTTCTGATAAACAGCTACAAAGAAAAGACGACGTTCAGGCTAGCACTCATTTAAAGGCCTTGACCTCAGAGGGGTATAAATAGAACTCGCTATGATTGGTCGTTTTGATAACATATGGCATACGGGTAATTTGCGCGTGCGTACTGTCTGGAGTTTTGAGTGACGTCGTACCATTAGATGCTCTCCGGAATGGACATCTACTAGAAAAACAGCATTTCTCGTAAGTGTAATTGGTTATCGTACCGAAAGTGCATAGAATTTTTACTTTGACCTTGGAACTCGGTGGAAGTTCAGCAATATTTCTATTACAACTTACACGTATAATGTAAGTCGTATGCGAGCACCAGCGGTCAAGTTCTCCCGTGTTAAAATGGCGGCAATCCTCACAACTGAGCGCGCAGAATCGAAATAAGAGTTAAGGGTGTCATTGACGTCAGACTTCTTACAGAAGAACACAATAGAAAAGAGTGGGTAGATTACTTTGCCCATAACCTATTATACTGATTACAAGCATTGATGAAAAGTAGTTTACAGAAATTATTTAGCCTTGTTATCATAAAAAATATAGCCTACATGATATAATTTATCTACCCTACTAATAATAGTTATATTGCATATACGGATAGAAGATACATTTACTACTTTTCATAAAAATGCCATGCCTACAGGCAAAATTTACAATATCAACCTTTTCTCTTACCGTTGTTCACATTGGTGTCATGAACATAATTTATCCATAGTTCTACATCAGTAACTTTGCAGTAGTGGCTATTTTGCCTGAGAATCATGCCTGTGGTTTAGAGGAAACGGCACCTAATGAGAAGCTAGATGAGTGGCTGGAGAGAAAAACTTGCATTGTATCGAGTCTTTTCATTTACTGATAGATATTTTTATTTTATTCGATCGTTTTCATTTATTTATTTTATCATTTGTTAAAGACATTAAAATGTAGAAGGATATATATTATTCTGACGCTGTTAATTCTTGAATGACATTGTAGCACTGTCGTAAACGCACGACTTGGAACTTGGACAAATAAAAAGTTTAATTCGTCCAAGCATGGAATAAATAAGGGAAAATTGAACAGTCTTAACAACATATATGGCGTGGATTGTAGTGATGCAAGGAGCGATACCTTTGTCCAGTTTAAAAGATAAAGACTACAAAAAACGATTTCTTTATTTTATTTATTTATAATTAATTATTATTATTATTTCCCCGAAAACAATTGAAGAAAAGCCTTATATCAAAAAGTTGCAGATAAAACCAAAACGATGATTTTAAAGAAAATGTACAGATATGGTTCTGCAGTTCTTTACTGTAGCTACACAAAGGGTTAAGGCCTTTGCACTTGGAGGTGATGAACTGGAAACCGAAGAAGGCGTTTTTGTCCCCCCCCCCAAAAAAAAAAAAAATTAATAAAATAAAATAAAAAATAAAAAGTTAAAAGAAACTACTCACGCCATATGGCAGATATTGCAGATCAAGAGAGCTAGGATAACCAAACTGTAAATGCTGAGTAATCATATTTCATAAGACGAGTGCCTGGTTACAGTGATTTTGTTTTAACTATTGCCGATTGTTGATGTGGGCAATGTGGCTTGGCGATGGGCTGACCACGTCGAAGCCCAAGGACCGTCATCGGACTGTTGAAATACTCTCAGCAATACACAGATCCTTGGATAATTTGAAATACACTGAAGCTTTTTGAACCAAAGGAAAGCGCGGTTTATTACAATGATGTGGGGAAGCATGTTTTTTGGTTTAAATATATAATCGAAACACTGGGTTGTGTCGACCATTCGAAGTCGTGCACTGTGAAATAAATAGGTCAAATAAGTTTCGTCGACACGGTATTTATTCGATGTAAAGTATTTATTACTTCGTTAGCAGACCAATCCACATATGAATGTAACCGTCACGGCGGATGGATTAGAAAAATTGCACAAAACGATTTCCATTATGCCACGTGCATAAAGCGGGGAGCCCGGTGTAACGTGACAGAGTCCCGCCCATGATAGAGAGCCCGCTTCCCTTTGATTTGTACCGGTAAGCCTCGCCCTAGATTTTGAACCACTACGTCAGGCGAACCATTATCACTATAACTAAATCATAATGGAGGGCGTCTTTCTGTTACACGGGCACTCGGTGTCGTTACACCTGGGCTAGTTTGCCCATTTAGACATAATGAGAATGAGTTGGACAACAAAACCGGTTTTAAAACGAGCGACAAGTATTTGGCTGCAGATGCAGCGCCAATGTTTTGCAAATGCAATGCCACATGGCTCACACTTTGACGAAAAACACACCTGATGTCAGGTGGGCATACTTACCCCGTTGGGATAGTTGGCCCAAGAGTTGGGGAAAGCTGGCACAAACCTTTTTTCCGACCAACGTTTTCCTGGCATTGTCGGATATTATCACTTTATGTGATCAATTTATCTTGTAGGTAATTTTCAATAAATTAACAAGACACCAACTTATCCTGGGGTTCAACTAGCCTCGGTCTCCCTATGCAAACAAACTGAACGTACTTGTTATGTTGCTGATTTTAAATATTTTTCTTGATATTCACCGCCTCTTATCGTACCTAATTGCCTACTTATCAAAAGACACTTCTAAAATACCTTTCACCTTATCTGTATGTTTGCATAGTCCAATACTTCCACCCAAAAGCTCAACAGAGCTTCTGTTTTATTGTTTTGATATATGCCGATGGAATATTAAGTTGACTTGTTTTCCATGTTCATAATGAGTGTCTGATAGTCACCATTTTGTTGCTCTGCGGTAGTGAAATGAGAAGCTGACCTTTGTCGTCCTAAACGACCATATTGAAAATCCATTACTAATTTTTACCTCTAGTAACCCAGCCTTGGTTTTGCCAATACGCTGCGATTCAAATCGACCCATATAATAATGTGTCATTGTATCCCAAGAGGCATCTGGACTGACGTTACAGCTATCGCTACAGTCGAGCTTTTTTCATTAAGATTGCATTTCAAAGATCTCAGCGTAAATCGGCGTTCTGCTATCCTTATGAATTTAAATTCATTAAGTTGGAAACGATCAGTCTTTGGTTAACGATATTATTAGTAAGCGGAATCTCCGGAATGTCTGAAAGAAAGCAGCTTTTAGCCAATTTTAAACGGCGTATTTGACTTATGCGGTCTGCCAATAATGTTGAATTTTCCAGTTGCCAATCGGAATCATTACTTTTGGAACATTGGATGTGTTTTTAATTATTTGATAACTTCAACAAGAGGTAACGTTTATCGCGCAACATTGGTTACTGTTAGTTAAAGGGATAATAACTCTTCGTATGAGATCTATATTTCACAATAAAATAACTCATAGAAATATAATATATTCTGTTTTACCACAAAAACGGCAGTTATAGCTATTATTCTGATATCTGAGCTTGTCTTTAGACCACGTGATCTCCATTGATGGCTACAGTCTGTTAAAATCTCTTAAGAGATTTTAACAAAAAACCAAACTTTTTAGAAAAAAACCAGTGACTAACTTTGAATGTAAAAATGGATTCATTAACCATTGGTAAGTATGGGAAAATTGTTGTTTACTCCAGGAAAATTCATTTTTTGGCCGAAACGAAGAGTTATTATCCCTTTAAGTTGGCAATGCTCAACTGTTAGTTTCGTTAGTAAGGTTGTAATGGCACTCACTTCAGTTGTTTAGTTCAAACGTTATTACATTATAAAAGATGACTTACTTGATTTTTTTTTTTCAAAACTAGAAACTTCAATCCGAAATATTGCGATGGCTGCACCACCATCTAGTTCGTCGAACGTCGTCAAAGTTGCCCCAAATATAGCGACGGTGAAGCCAATGAAGATTCCAGGGGGGATATCTACCACTACGTCTTCTACACAGAACATACAGTAAGTACATTTGTACACAGCACTTAATTCTGCACTGCTCTCTCACACGCACGCAGACATACATATACAGTCATACCTAAGTAACAACTCTCGATATGTTTGATATGTGTTAGTTTACAATAAATTTAAAAAAATCATATTTCACGTTGTCATTGGTTCCTTTTTAGGTCAATTCCTGCAATGAACAAAGCGGCTCCACAGAACGGGAACACGGAAGGACAATACATTAACGGAAACCTGTACCAGCTAGCTGTAGTCACCATTGATGGAGAGAAGAAGAGAATTCTCATTCCCGCACAAAGTATGAAAACCTTGAGTGGAACCCCTGTTCTCCTTTGTCAAAAGACAAACCAGGGGTATAGATGTATGTCCGTGCCCGTGCCTTCTACTACGACCACAAAGACAACAAATACCCCCACACAAACGGGATATTCCCTCATTAATGCTCCGCAGCAGCTTACATCAGATGTATTTGATGCAAGTGCTTCAAACTTGCAAAAAAGTGTTTCGCGGTCTTTGTTGCCGTCATTTGACGCAAACAAAGTAAATCAAGGGTTAGCGTCTCAATCGGGATCACCGAATGATGTTGCTGCAACGCCAGTTTCAGTAGTTAATGGCTCGCCCAGCGCTACGTTACAAGGATTGTCAACAATCTCAGCCATTGACCATCTAAAAGATATTGTAAGTCAGGTCCAGAGGTCGGCTAGTCCTACAGTGCAACTAACACAACCTACTTCCACGGTAAAAATTGCGAACACATCCGTTCCCGTAGCTTCCAGTTCAAAATTTGTTAGATCTAATGTGACCGTTGTACAGCCTTTTATGGTCTCTGGGGCTAATAAAAATACTGTGCAGCCCGGTGCCACTTCTCTGACTAATTTCCAAAGGTTGCAACAACCCATCTTAACTTTAATTTCAAAAGAGGCAAGTGCGCAGCCTTCAATAGCCCCTTTTCCTAATGCAACAAATAGCCAGCCTGCTGTGTCCTCTGTGACAAACGCAGCGTCCGTGCCCCAAAGAGTATTTATTGTGCCACCTGTGTCATGTCAGAAAAGTGGACCAGGCATTGTCACTACAGTGTTGCCAGCCATTGTGACCACGGCTGCATCTCCAGCTGCACAGACCATAACATCTAGTGATGTTGCTGTTGAAAAAAATACCGCGCCAGCTGTTTTAAATCTGCTGTCTGCCAATAATTCCCAAACAAAATATTCTTTTGGGCAACAATTCCAGAGTAGCAACGGACAGTCGTTCGTCCTGGTGACTAGACCCACCAGTTCTTGTGTGCAGCAAAGTCAGCGTACAAATACGTGTGTTGAAGCACCAGATGAACTGGATCAGACATCAGCTTCGAACGCTCCAGATACTTGTCAAGGCGCCCTGGAATCGTCAAAGCCTTTGTTTCAAATTCAGGATGTTTACACGTTGAATTCTAGCAATATAAGTTCGGAACACGTGGCAAAGAAAACGGAACGGTGCAGCAAAGACGTTGCGAATAAAGGAACAGAAAGTGTTTCAGAACTAAACAGTGAACCGGAAACTGATCCCGGAAGCCTGGATGAGTCAGAAGAAACCAACTCAGCTGATACAGAGTCTGACTATAGCGAAGATGCTTTCAAGGAAAAGTATAACGAAGATTTAAAGAGAGGGGGTGACCAAGTTCAGACAACGGGAAAACTTCAGGTATTGCAAACTTCACAAGAAGATGACACGTGTAGTTTGAATTTGGACTGTGAAGACGTCTATGACGAAGATACGGAGGATGGCGATCTTGAAAACGAAGATGATACATTGGGTAAAACAAATATGTTAACGACGATAGAAAATGAATCAAGCGAAATGCAATCTCTGTCCCAGTCTGATGCGAGTGTTAGTGGCGCTTTTGAAAGAAATTCTCGTAATGTCATAGAAAATATTTATCTTGAAAACAACAATGAATTGAATGAAAATGAAAGTGAAATGGCTTCACTGTCAAAAGTTCATGGTTCAAATAATGAAGTAGCCGTAAAGTTTGACCGCATGAACAAAATGAAATCATGCAGTGTTAGCCTAAGAAGAGTCGTACTGCCAAAAAATCGATCTGCCTTTAGAACATGTGAAGTTGAACGCTTATCGGTATCCAAAGGTATTGGTGCGCCCGCAAATAAACACATGGCAGTACAACAATGTTCAAATAACTTGGGCTCTGGAAAGTCACAAGTTAAACTTCAGGAAAACAAGCATGGTTCCGCTGAATCTAAGAAGCAGACTGTATTTCAAAAGGTTCCAGTGACAACTGCCGCTTTGTCAAATGTTAAAATATTAACAGTGAATACCGACAAAACGACGGACACGGAAGCTAACCAAGCGTCACTTAAAGCAACTGGACCTACTCCAAAGGCTCCAGCTGGTAAAGAATGGGAAAGGTTTATTTTCTTCAAACTAAATGGGAAGGCTATATTGGTTCCAGTTAACAAAAAAACTGTTACCATGGCATCCAGTCCTGGCGCAAAGTCAATAATATGTCGCAATGGCAAATATTTTTTTCAAGGTAGCCCGGCGAGTGTGGGGAATCCTGAGAAATGCATAGTTCAAAACTCCAGTGTTGAGGCGTCCACGCACACAAAATATCCGGCGCCGACGCTCCCTGTCGCTGCGGACCGTTTTGATTCGAAACCAAACCAATGCACAGCGTTAGCCGGCACAAGTCACAGTGCACTAAATATTCCGTCCGCAGAGGAATCGAATTCGCTTGAAACCACCGGTCAAAATTTACCAACATCAAATTTTAAGGTCAAATGTGAACCCACTACATATGGCTATGGCGACGAGGTTGCTCCTTCTACTTCCACTATGAATACTGTTAACTACTCTACCGGCGAGCAAAACCAGCTCAGTGACATTGCCTCGAAACCAGTTAAAACTGAACCAGAAGATTTTTATTTGGTGCCTAACAAAATTCAGAAAGTAGAACACGGTAACGGGTCGGTAATACAGGAGTTTCAAAGTGAGCGAATCAGAAAACTGAAAGAAAAATTACGCCAGCAAAACGAGGCTTTGGAAGAGTTGCGAAGAAAATTGAAGTCCAAACCAAGTACGGCTTTTGAGGATGATGACAGCTGAATCCACCCCGAAAAAAATGAAAAGCCTTTCTGGGAAAACGGCCGAATTTTGCTGTTAAGATGTGTTTTGCTTTCACATTGATTGGATTATAAATTAACAGTAAATACGATTTTATACTTAAAAGGATGTAGTGTATTGTATATATGTTTAATGTCCAGCCAATATACTTAACATGTCTTTGATAGAAACAAGAAAGGCCCTAAACGTTGTTTTCACAAATGTAACTAGCTTTTAGCTCCTTGGAAAAAGCGTCTTGTACGTATAAATACCTTCTTACTTTAATGGTTTCTCTCAGTTTTCAAGTGAACATGTTCCACACACGAAGACTTACTAAGAATAAATACTATATCAGCAATCGTAAATTGAAAGAAAATTGCCGTTTGTTGTTTTCACAGTGGCACAGACCTAATAACCTTACACGTTAAGCTTGTTGATTTGGCAGCATTTGTGGTGATTTATCTATGGCCGCATTCAGAACAGTGGACTCACTTGTCCACGGATCAAATATGGCGACCCACTAAAAAGCTTGCCGTCTAATCCGCTAATAGACACTGAATAGATTCCCCGTGGGGAAGTATTTAAGTGGGTCGGCCATATTTGACCCTCGGATTAGTTAGTCCACTGTTCTGAATGCGGCCTTTGTGTAACGATCTTTTTAGGCGTTTGGTAATTCAGTGGTAGAATATAATGCGTACGTTACACCAAAAACGTAATGAAATCGGTGCTGATTGTTACAATAAATGTATGATAATTTTTAGATCTCGTTTGTTCTCCCTTAAAAGAAAAAAACAAAACAAAAATAAGGCTTCTAATCTCAAAATACAGCATCAGCTTATACAAAAGTATGCATAGGTCCGCTTTACACATTCATTACTTTTTCCAGAACAAGATGGCGGCTGCAGTCCCCGTCTCTTTCCATGTTACAAGAAAACGCACGCATCCATTCTTCACATACCACTCCTGGGGGGTGGGGGAAGGGGGGCTCGCGTCTTTGTAAAAGAGGAAAGACAGACCTGTAACAAGCAACTAGGTTATTTATCTGCAAAAAAAGGACCTTTTTGCCACCATCATTACCCAACTGGAGAAATGGCATTGAACATGTAGATCAATTTTTGATATCGCAAACACATATTTCCCAGTTAGAAGTGCGGTTCTTTTGAAATCCACCTACCTACAGACCTGGAAGTATTATCAATCTTAAAAGTTGCGGATCAACTTAGAAGTCGTCATTTTTAACCTTTGACTATAAGGCATTCCCATTATAGCGATACCCTCTACCTGGATCACAGATTGATTTTTCACGAGATATTCACAGATATGTCACTGGTAAAATTCACGGTTATTCTCTGTACTCAGCGATAATGTCCACATAATGATAACCGCGGCTCTGGTAGAGGGCAGTTTAGCGACAGGTGACACAAAGTTACATATCTTCTACACCGGAGGGCTTACCAAGAGCAAACGCCAACAAGCTCCTTATTTGATTCAGTCAGTTACTGTAATAGTAGGAACATGCCATCACACACATCTTTGATGGAACTATAAGCGAATGATTGAAATTGATAGGAGGCGCATTTTAAGTTTGCATTGTTATAGGCCCTACTGTAGATCATCATTTATCAATTTCATGGCTGTATTTTTTGTCTCGGAGAAATCGCTTGTAGTTTAGAGGAATAACAACTCTTAATTTTGGCCAAAAAATGGATTTTCCTGGGAGAAAGGACAATTTTCCCGTAATTGCCAATGGTGAATGAATCCATTCCGACATTTAAAGTTAGTTCCCGTGTTTTTTTTTTCTACAGACAGATTTAGAGAGGGTCAGGGGGGACCTGACCCCCCCTTCGGTTTCTGAAAAATATATCACACCAATATTCCACTCTTGAAATTAGAACTTTGACTAGCTGTATCATAGTTCTAAACCGTACCAAAGACCACTGTTTGCCCTCCAAAACACCAAAAATTTTTGGGGCCCTTTGAGTAGACCCCGAACCCCACGCCAAGGGGTGATGGTCGGTTTCGCATCTGAGGCTTGGCGTAATCCTGGATCCGCCCCTGAAAAAAGTTTGCTTTTTTGTAATATTCTCTTTTAAGAGAATATTACAAAAACAGATTATTATTAAAACAGATTATTACAGGGTGTTCCCATCTATGTGATGGCAAGCAAAAATTCCAAAATCATTGCCTTAACTGCCGTTTTGGTGGTAAAATAGAATTTATTATATTTCTATGGGTTGTTTATAATGTATTTATTATGAAACATGGATTTCATACGAACAGTTGTTATACCTCTAATAAATGACATTGAAATGATATAATATCAGATTTACCGCAACAGATGCTTTGTTCTAGCTATTAAAAGATAATCATAATTTGTGAAACGTCGCAACTTCATCTGGTACTTCGTGTAACACTGACGTCAGCAATATTACAATAAGGGCTGAAGTTGTAACCCGACGTACTTAATATAATTTTTAAACCAGCTGATACTTGATGAGCAAATAAATTCACACGGGTGTGAAGAAGCTGCAGCAGCTGTCACATGGGGCGTGGATGCTTTTTATAAGACGGAGAGCACACACGAATGCAGTACACTGTCCTGGCTTCGAAGGGACTCGAGGTTTCCTCTGAATTGCCATTATAAGCTGTCTCAAAATGATTACTATTGGTATTGTACTTATTGGTTTATTCTACCAGATCCTCGCAGAGACAGAGTTCGTTAAGGAAACCAAAGGCAAGTAAGACATTCTGAGTTCGAAAGCAGAACAATGTATAGTTTGTTTCGATGTGGTTTGAAGCAATGCTTTTCTGAACGAAGAAAACATTTCGAAAACTGAAAACTATGATGCAGGATAAAGTGATTATAATGGGCCTTTCAAATTATTTTCGTCAATCAGCTCGATTGGAGAAGTATTCCTTGGTCTATTCATGTTTAAACCGAGACTTTTTTACAACACACAGTCTACGATCAACATTTTGACGACGGTCGAATTTTTGAAGTGTCACCTGATTTTTTTACTGACATCTCTGGAGAAATGCCGAGTTTTATATTTTGTTAATATTTTTCAGCGGTCCGCTGCTTTGACTGTAACTACAGCCCTTCTGGTTTTTACCCCAGTGGATACGAGAGAGGGTACGAGAGGTGCGCTCTGTCTACCTATGGGGACGCAGACTTCATAGATAAGTGGGAATGCCGCTCTGGTCGATGTTTTATACGCCAAGACAAAAATGGACGTAAGTGTTTCACTGAAATTTCTCATTCATTAAATTTACAGGTAAGTTTTTACCATTACGTTTCCTTTTTTAAATTTTCGTTTGAATCATATATGATAATGTTCATTTCCACGTCACTTTGCCGAAGATTGTGAAAGTATATCTTTTGGCTGGCCCTTCAGCTTTTAGCTTTTAAGCTATTTCATTGCCATATGGTGCATTTTACTTAAGAAGAAGTTTAATTACTACAAACACATCACCTATGATGAATATGTGAGTTGGATAAACAACTGCTCTACAAGCTACTACCTGATGTATTTGTTTCGGTTTGATTTTCAATACCTTCGACTTGTACATATGCCGTGTTTCTTGATTTTCATAATACCATTCTGGGGAAGAAGTAGGTTTTAACGCGCTTGAAAACTCAAGTCACTGAACTCGCTTTAATTGGATTCATCACATGTATAACTCGTTTTAATTTGATTAATCCATTATATTAAACGGAAAAAGGAGTGTTTTAAATTGGTTTTCAAAATATTACGATCAGTATGCATCAGGATTTAAATGCAACTTCTTCTATGCAAATTCCCTTATAGTTGTATTTCGTGGTTGCGCCGATGAAGCTAACGTTCCGTATGGCGTCGACCCCACCAAGAGCTGCAGCACCCAAGGCCACGCCTACTGGTACTTTTGCTATGGCGACCTGTGTAATGATGGGCAGCTGGGAAACAACGTGTACGATAAATACACCGGACAGCTCACCAAAGACGTATGTGGCTACGAACCTGACCAGAAGGAACAGCCACCGTACAGTACGTTTCTGTTCTGTTGGGGGTATTTGAAAAAAAAACCCAGGTTTTCTAAATGTACCCGTTTTTTGTCCGTGTCACGTGGGGTGTACTGGGTTCGCGACAGATTCCATACAACTTTAAAATTGGTGAACACATTTTGAAGTTATACTTAAATGAAGCAAAATGCAGCAGTCCTCTTTGAACCAGTGACGATGTTTTATCCTGCAGCTGTTGCAAGTTGTGCGACGCATGTTTTACGTTTAGTAATTAAATTCAGATTAAAAATAATATAGCCGCCTCCCTTTAACCTACTAGCGTGTTTACTATAGCAACATCTGCACACTTAACTAAAATATGCACACACTGTTCTATATTCCAGACCCATGTGCCAAAAACAAGTGCCTGAAGAACCCCAGTGGTGTCTACGCAGACCCTGACAACAAGGAGGGGTTTATTCAGTGTGGGTGTGGTCGTGACGGCTACGGGAAACCATGCACGTGCTGCGTGCCTCTACGGCTCAGGTGCCCTTACGGCACTGTGTTTGACGAGTACAACAAGGAATGCACCTCCCGATACAAGTATGAAGCGGAATATGAAAAGCAGAAACTCTTGAAAGAAGAATGAAATGTGACTTTAGATATTTCTTCAAGTTTATGATACACCTTTGTATAAAAAAAACTTTTTAAAGCTAAAAAGAATTCTTTTGAGAGAACTCGGAATGAAATTTCAAGAAAATTGGTAACTGAAGAACGCTGCTAAAGGTATTGCTGTATTCTTATATTGTTGGAGGCACTACCTCATTACGATTCCAGTATTCGATTACCATATCAAATCCAATTATAATGTAGACTCTGAGCAACGCCAGAGTGACACTACGGCATTTGATATAAGACATCAACGGTTATTCATCATATCATTATTAAAGGTGACATGAATTCAATATAAGGTAGGACTTAGATTTATGGAATTTTCTGTGAAGATTTTAACAATAAATCTAAAAGTAATGTGGCGTACTATAATAATGATAATGAAAAGTAAATGAAGTTAGAATTTTTATCTTGTTTATTTTAAATTGGTCTGTAGCTGTGAATTACGAGCGAGATCCCAAAAGTAACAGCCAATTCAGTGTATATACAGTGTCCTTGTGCAAAACAATCCTTCGCATACTATACAAATATACACTGACCTGTACTTAATCACAAATAAATAGAACTCTTTGAGAAAAGATATCACAGTTTGGCAGTGCAGCAGTAGTTTCAGTTCTGCTGAAATGCACTTGTCTCGCAGTCAAATTACCAGAATACAACTGAATGAAGAACCCGTCAAAATATATATATCAAGTCGCACACACCTTTCAGATGTGGCGTACCTGGTTAAATTGATAACAGATGACAGACACTTGAGACTTGTAATTTAAATCTTGACAATTGCCAGCAGGAAAGAGTTGTCCGTTTGTAGTGTAAGTCTGAACCATTTCCTGATCATTGTCTTTCTGCAACCGATGACTTCTCTCCAAGATGAATGACTGATATTAAGTGGTGTTTAGTCATGAGGATAGAGGGCGCGTAGGTGCGGGCGTGGCAAATACTGGGCACCATCAAATCCCTCAAAATACTCGTCTATTCCAGGATGCAGGACCTGGGAGTAAGATTAAATAAAAACAGATTACTAAAACTTAAAAAAACTGAAAGAACATTTGTCACATTAAACAATTTTGGTGACCTTTTTTTTAATTAAATATGAAAAACAACTATATTGAGCAATAATTAAATAAGTTCAACTGTTTTCTGATAATTTTCTGATGCAAGAGTGCTTACTTTGGTATTGGACAGTATTTCTATATTTTCTTGAGGCACATATGTGACTTGTGGCATCTCGCGATCTCTCGTATCTACTAAGATTGCATAGTTTGGCATATCTCTCCAATGCTGCATAGAAAAAACAATTTATCACAAAGAAAATAAATAATTATTTCTGGAAAACGAGCACAATATTAATAAAGACTAGAAATCTTTGGGATGTGTGGAAAGTGAGCATTATGCTGTCACCAAGAGTATATCACTAATATTTGCACAATTTGTCTTATCTCTTCACATACACATTCTCTCTGTGTGTGTTTTTTCTTTTTACTCTAATGAAAGATATTTTTAGCATTCACCTTTTTATCTTTTGGGTGCATCTGCTGTAGCCAGGATTCTGGGGCCTAGAATTCCAAAATTTCCAACACATTAAAATGCAATCAATAAATTTTCACAACTGTTTCTAAGTTTTCTGTTGTCTTCTAGAGCAAAATGCATCTCACTGCGTAAAAAATTCCCATGACAAGAGTTTAAAAAGAAATGATCATTTCTACATTTTTCAAGCAATATTTTGTAAAGTTAAAATATACCTTAGCTTTAGGATCCCAGCCAACAATGACACCTCGATATCCATGTATTTTATGTCGTATAACTTGTCCAACTCTATATTTCACATTTTCTTGCCTTGAAACACGCGGATGAGGGGAACCTAAATCAAACATTACACTACTTAGCAAATTTGACAAATAGACAGGCACCAAACAGCAAAAAACATTACAAATACTTTTTTTAAATCTGTATTTTTAAAAAATCTGATTTTTGAAAGGAACCTGCCTTTTTACAAAACAAAGTTATCCAGTAAACATGAAAGCAAAATGACAGTTTGGCACTCACAAACAGCAAGTATGTATAGTGCAGCAGTTACAGGCAGATGACAGATTGCAACAGAGACAGCAACAACACAGATAAACATGTCAATCAGAATATATACAGGCACACAAAATGTACATAAAAAACAAGACAAAACAAAAAACTGTCAATTCCTTTTGAATAAACAATTAATATACATCATATTCAAAAAGGTCTACAAATATGTAATGGTGTCACTTATCTAGGTTAGGCATATCAAAAACATTTGCTTGAAAACAACAATTCACACTGCATGGGCACGGGGATTGTACATAATTCAACAATCTTCTGTCTTTTGACAAAGGGTGTTATGAAGAGCTTTTTACAATCATACTGAAAGCAAAAATGATAATGCCAAAGGCAAATCTAATCAATACTGCCATAATAATTCATACAAGCACATTGTTACTGCAGCTGTACCTGCGAAGTATCCATCAGGTTGATCATGTTTCATGACTTCCACTGCCGGCGACTCCCCATCTGGTGCATCTGACTCCCCATAGCTGGGTTTGGAATGAAGATGCACCTTAGATATCACATCAAAGCACCATTTTTGCCAAGATTTCCAAGTAAAATACTTTTCATGGAAAGTCACTGCACTGTTTAAGATGCTGAAATAATGAAATAGGTGACAGCTCTCCAGTTTAAATCATGATAATATATAAATATTAATTACATTTAAAAATCATAAACAACATATGAACAGGTGGGGGGGGGGAGGCTTTGAACTGCCAGTCATTCATAACTATACCTAGAGGTTAGTTAAGTCAACACACACTGTGACAAATGCAAAAGAAGCCAGAGAACTTTGTTAATGTTGTTGATAGTGATTAAAGCCGTCCTCAGGGGCCTCCAATAAAACCAATTAAGAAATAAAAATTAATTGGTGTCTTTATTTCCACCTCTACTACTTCAAATCATTTTTTCTTTTTTTCTTTGGTTTTGTATTGTACATTAAACAGTGCGGCACTTGACCTCCTCCCCTCACCCCTATTAACTATACACACCATCATCATTTTGCCTTTAGAGCTTGTACATTACTTATAACACTTAGTGCCTTCTCCGCCCCCATCCCATCCACACACACAAACACACACAAACACACACACACACACACACTACGTACCTTCTGAGTGCCACATTCCTCTGCACCTGATTAGAAGTCATCCATTTTGTGATCAGATACTGTGCTGGTACTGCCAGTAGAATAAGGCCAAACTGGAAGGCTGCTCTTCTATCCAGGGGCATGATTCACCTGAGAAAAGTTCATAATAGTGCAATTTATTTACCCACCACTGGCACCAGGAAACAAATAACTGCTTGGAATCCTACACAATGGAGACTTCCCAGCCCACCTAATATAATTTGAGGGTTTGAATCCAGGCTGGAAACAATCCCTGAAGTACTTTTTGCACTTAAAAGTCTTTTAATGGCAGTCTTCAATAAATGTATGATTTCATGGCAGCATAACCAGTGATGAATCTTCCCTTATTCACAGCACTGCTGGTAGGAAAACTAGTTGGCTTTTCAGCAGTATGCAAATTGGAAGCTGAGTGGTAAGCTTTGAGAGCTCCCAATGTGCAGCTGGGTTACTAGTTTGCTGTGATTTTCAAGCATAAGCACATATAGGGCATGTCAGATACCATAGATAGAAGTGCTGATGCATGAAACTTTGTGCCATAATACCGTGGTAGCTCTTGCCAAATTGTGCCTAATATGTGATCTCAAATTTGATTTAACTTTATCTTACCTGTTTTGACAACTGATGTACATACAACAAAGAATTTTTCAAACAAGACACTGTTACTTAGTAATTTACACATGTCACTTACATGTATGCTCACAACAGTATCTGATTATTATGATACATGTACTTTAACTTCAAACACATGTAAAGCCAGTAGTACACAGTCACAGAGTCAGATTGGTATCAGCACTTTTTAAATTTCAGTTTGGCATGTCCTAATTTTTTATGTTTGGGCGTGTATGAGAAACAAGGTCTTTGCACTTTGTTAGCACGTCATAATTTGTGTATGAAGATGTATCAAGGCAATATCGATTTGGGAACAAAAACCAGTTACCTTTATCTCATTTTGTCTTTTGGACCCTTTTTGTGCTCCATGTATTAACCGTTGGTTGGATAATATGACAAAGTAAGACCTCTTCTAAAGTTGCCTCAATGTGAAGAGTTTCTCTGACTGACATTTAATTTGGAAAGTATGGAGCAAATGAAGGCGTTGCAGTCACACTGAGCAAGAGATTGGAAAGGCCTTCGAAGCCGAGGGCTTAGTATTGTCTAGTATAACTTAGACACTTAACTTAGTGATTATTTTCAACTCTGATATATTTTTGTCTATATCGAAAATATTATGAGTTCTCCAACTCACCTTTATCAGACTGAAATATGCACAGTCTTGATTTCTCCTTCCATTAGGATATATCCGACGGTTAACACACAACAAATCAAAATAGTCCACGACTCCGTTCTCTGTTGTATCGCAAAGGAGTACTTCATTTGCTTTTGCGACAAGAAAATACTGCGTAAGTGTTTAAAAGGTTCGACATTACCTATATTCAAGACTAAAATAATTGAAACTGCCCAACTTGATTAATTATGTACCTTTTCACCAATTGTTATCAAAACTAAGATAGCATTTCAGTTTGAAGTGTCGTATTTGCGCCCTACTTCCTTCTTGTCGAAAAGAGTCAGCGAGGTGTTTAGCAGACGAACAATGGCCTGTTGTGGTTCAATCTGCGGACAACAAACCAGATGTCATTCTTATTCACGCCTTTAAAACACGAAAAGGACGGGTGTGAGAGTAATAGGCATTTGTTATTTGTGTTCCTTCCTCCTTCATTTTGTCTCACAAGTTGACGTCGTTGGCCATTATAGGTTGATAAGTGTTGAAAAAATTTTGAAAAGGCAGTGATGTATTCGTTAATATTATTCTCTACCTGGGTATTTCTGCTCGGCATAGCTAACCTTTACTTGTTTCAAACTATACAGTTATTTGTGTACAAATGCACGTGCGTGCCAACGTCTCAGTCTAAAAAAACAAACTCGTAATTTGCTTTTAATAATAATAATAATAATAATAATAATAATAATAATAATAATAATAATAATTATTATTATTATTATTATTATTATTATTATTATTATTATTCATTTATTTATTTATTTATTGAGCTCTAAAATATGTTGCAAGAATAAAATAATTTTTTTCTTCAGTCAAGAGCTAAATATTATACTGAAATAGTGTAACCCCAATATTTCGATGTCTAACAGAGGATCTTCATCCCTGGACTTATTTACTCATTCACAGAAATTCTGTGAGCTTGAGTGGGGTAAGTGGGTATTATATTTATTTATTTATTTATTTATATTTTTGCAAGGTTGCCGTTTTTTATCTAGAATATATTTTAATTCATCTTATCTATTTTTTTATCTTATGTCCATCATTAAGTAACCAACCGGCATAAACACTACGGCACCAGTTACAAAGACAGCAGGATGAATCTTTTACGTAACTACGAGTATAAACCGATAGAAATGCCAGTGTCTGCTAGGGTAGTTCACATATGTCACTTCTCATTGAGATTTCATTCTTATATTGACATACCCCAAGTAATCCACCTCTTAATCCAACGCAAGATAAAGGAGGGGTTTATTATTAATGTGACTACGGATAATTAATTGTCCTTGTACACACTTGAATGCTGCTTATACTGGTGCTATGTATAAGAAATGAGGCATCTATATCATTAGGCACATTTACTACTTATTATCAGGCCTACGTACGTGACACTCATTAGACTCAGAATAAGTGTGACAAGGACATTATTTTGATTGTCCTAATTTTACCCTAAAACATGCGGTGGAACAGATGTCCCCTCCTACTTAATTCAAGTACCAATAGTGTCGATATTGATCGTGGATTAAGGTATACAATCTGCTTTAAATATTAATCAGGGTTTATTTCATTAGTTTGTGGTAAATATTTCACGGATAAATTTCTTTCATGACTTACAAGTTTTTGTATTTCTAGGAAACATTTTCTATAATTTAGAATCGGCGATTTTAAAATGAAGCGTCAGCGGTCTCCTTTGATGTTTGTCACGGCCTTTCATCTAGCCTATTCCCTTTTTATCGTGTTCTTAAAAGTCCACTTTCTTTTATACATCCCAATCTTTGTGTCCCTTTAATCCGTTTTAATTAAGGCAGCCAATTTGTATGAGGCAGCGGACAGTTGAAGCAACCTCTCTTTCATTAAACAAATCTGAGGGTTCATTTTTGAATTACCTTGAACTATCAAAGACACTTCAAAGACCCACTGCGCGTCACCGCCTTTTTGATGTTTTCCTTGAACCATTGTTCAATTACTAATCGATATCCTAATCGTATTTCTGAGTGTGGCACGCGGCATCTGCCCCCCTCACTTTATACCTGAACACCAGATGTCAATACTGAGAGTGTGGCAGGTGTCGGCAGGTCACGTGACCATAGCAGATGCTGCCGCCGGTTATCTTAAAGCGGGGGACTCTTTGTAAGCATCTTAATTCATCCAGTCGAGGGACGGCTGACGTGATTTTGGAGAGGCCTTCGTGTCACCAGTGCCGTTATAAAATATGTGTCGCGTTGCTGAACGTTTATAAGTTTAGTTGAAACAATGGGAACATGGCATCTCAATTTTTCACATCATAAATTTAACTGCCCCGCGGCTGAAGCCTGGATTATAAGCATATACAGCTTCGGTTCATTTCAAGAACGCCACTAGCAATTCGAAGTTTGTCAACGACGCACAAGGAATCCTAACTGAGCTCCAGATTAACGTTATTTGCCGGAATACTATGTGTTAAAAAAGACAGATAACATTAGCATGGAGTTCTTGCTTAGGCTCTTGTCATTTCTCTGCGTGTATACATTTTCTAAAGGAATTGAAGGTAAGGATTTAGTATGTCATGTTTTTGTACATAACGATAACAGATAATTATGAAATATTTTTCCTCCAAATCAAATCGCGTGGGAACCTGCTATAAGTAGGTGCGCCACTGTGTGACAGCATTTAAAAACATGTGAAACACTTTCACGCCGAGTGCTCTGGTTAAATCACCGGTCCGCGGAGTTCAGTTCGCACTCACCAGATTCAACATTGAAGTTACACAGTCAAGTGAACTGCATGCTGAGCTGGCGAGAATGAACGTGGCACGAAAACTCACACAAAGGTCCTATAAATCATGGGATCCAATTATAAAAGATAACCGAGCATTATGATAGAAAATGTAAGCGGGAAACACATTCTGGATCATATTCATCTTTGTAAAATTTTGATATAATTCACGTGTTAAACAAGGCTTCTTAAACACTACAATATGATTCATCGGCATTAATAGCAGTCCGTGTTTTAATTACATTGTCATTTTCTCAGGCAAAATATTGTTCACAGGGTAACTGTCGCTGCAGGCTTTTCTATGTGCTACGACCTTTGGCTTTCAACTGTTTATCACACTACGTTCCCACGACTGTGATGATCCGGCTGCTTTTTATGCACTCTATAAAAATGCAAGTCGTGGTCGCCGATTGAAAGGTGACTTTGTACAAACTTGTTACGCGAAAAACTGCCCACACTCGAAACTACTTCATCTGGGGTTTTTAGTTTGAACGAGTGGCCATTATCATTAATTTTCATTTTTAATGACCTTATTCTCAATTTTTTGTAAGACTTGCAAGTCATGAAAGCTCATCACGGAATGACTAATATGCTGCATAACAGCGTTAAACCGAGAGAATGAGACTCGAATCATGTGTAATTATATAATCGGTCTAGGAATAAATGCGTGACAAATATGAATAGTGCATGCGGCTTGTCTTATGAATGCCTGCATAAATACGTTACAGATATTAGTATTATGATCACACTATTTATGAAAAATGTTTGTTAGCTTAACGTCGTCCTGATTAAACAACACCGTTTAAATGCAAGCGCGCGCAGATGCAGGGCCGCTGTACAGGTGGTAGATAAAGTCTTCGGTAGCTCAGCATTATAGTAATTATGCGTATCGGTTTTTGTATAGACAGGTGCACCGTGCTGTGCTTAATGCGATAGAGAGGTAGGACGACCATCTCACTACACCTGTCGATATAGGGAAATGTCTTCATCAAACAGTAATAGATCACATTATTTTGACACCTTTTTATTGATGTTATAAGATTTTCCACACTAGCATTTGTAAAAGCCGTATTTTACAGATTAGCAGTAACATGATAAGGCATAATCCGCCTATCCGTATCACTAGTATGCCTCAAAGATAACAGAAAATAAAATATTCCACGAGGGCTTGATTTTTTTTTCCAGTTTCTTATTTTTGTAGTTTCTCACGGTCAAAAAAATTACAAAGTCAAAAAAAAAAAAAAAAATACAAAGTAGTACGAGCGCTCACTGTGACAATTCAAGTCCCTCAGGGCTCTAATTTTCTCACTTAACAATTTTTTATTCTTATGGTGAACTGCTGTGTCCCCCGTTTGAATTAGATACTTATGTTGTCTGCATAAACAACCGCCAGTCATTTTGTATGTAATTTGTTCCAGCAAGCCAGACTAGCTACGTGTGCTTTAAGGAAGGAGACAGCGTTCCACAGCAGACAGATATCCACTGCCCCGAGGGTCAGAGAATCCGCGTGCTCGATGCAATTTACGGGGTGAACCCCTGGGACGCCTGTTACTTCCTGGAGGGGGACTGCACCGTCCAGACCACGGACGCTGACCACTGCTGTAACCAAAACTCGTGCACCGTGACGGGACGCCAGTCTTACCTCACCAGTTGTGGGGGACAAAAGAGCTTTCTTAGGATAGTATACGAGTGCGTGAGAGGTACGTATTAATTAATTAAATTATTTATTGTATTAATTAATTAAATTATTTATTGAACGAGCGGGGGTACTTTAAATTTTTTTATTTTTATGGCGAATTATTTATTTATTTATTTATTGTAAATATTTTTTCCTCTCTAAATCACAAGGTTCTTGTTTCCATTTTGCACTGTTTGATCCAGGATATGAAGAAAGATGGGGTGGTGAAAAAATATTAGAAGCATAAAGCAATACGCTCGGGCTCAGATGACTGCAGTAGTTTACTGTTCATGTTATTTGCGTTATTTTATTTATTTATTTATTTATTTATTTATTATTATTATTTTTTGATAAAATGATGAACAATATTAAATACATTGGAAAGCCTTATGTTATCACTGCTGCTAACATTTGTCTTTTCCCTTCCAGAGCATGTTACCTGTCCTGGTGACAGTCCTAGTAGCCACCCTGACGTGCTGACAAGGACTCTGTCCATCAATATTCCCGTCAGCACCACCACAGCGCCTCCGCCCTCGTCTCCCGCCATAGACACCTCCACTGTGAAAAGGTACTGGAAAACGTGGAACGGCAACGAGGCTCAGTCTAAAGCCACTAACACCCCAGATGGTATGTTATAAATAATAATGATAATATTGCAATAAATGTTTGGTTTCATAGTCTCTGCAACTATCTGTCTAACTACAATATGGATAATAAAATAGTAGTATTGCTTAATGTAAAGATGCAAGAAAACCATCCCTCCCCTCGGAGGAAGTGAGAAAATGAGAGAGGGAAAGACTAAAGCTATATAGGCCTACTATGAACTGATCTCATTTAAACATGTCACGCTACAGCCCGCCCTTAAAGGCTGTATAACTGTCCAGAGGCCACCAAAATACAAAATATATAAAAAGTGAACCTGCACGCGTTGAGTTGTTGGTCAACACGGAACTATCCCACATTTTCAGTTTTTGCGCGGTATTAAAAATTAGTTAATTTTCAATATTGTGAAATAGATATTTGGTGCCGTTTACTTATATTTTTTCGTTATAATTACAGACATTTTGCTATGGGCCTGTGTTGGAGCTGGTATAGTAGCAGTGTTATTGGCAATTGCAGTAGTTGTCGTCTGCATAAGGAAGAGGTGAGTTATCCACGTTAAGTTATTCTGCACTGTGGAAAGGAGTTGTAAAAATTAGCATAAATTGTTCGTTATTTTTCATCTTTTGTCTTATTGCATTCATGAAGATTTCAATATAGACAATATTGCATCTCACAATTTACCTAAGTAATCTACATATCAGTGAAAACGTTTTGAATTTTTCCAGGCAACTGCAGGACACGAAGTCGAATCTCCTCAAACCTAACGGCTCTCCAGTGTCTTCCAATGGCTCATCGCCGGAGAGACCCGAATTACAGACCCGATACGGTCCAGACGGGGATTCACAAGCATTTGAAAACTTTGTATGTAATAAAGATTCAGGACTAGACGTCAGTAATGACGTAGCTGTGACAATCTCAGATTCCCCTTTGGACAATGTTGGCGAGGACGTGACACAAGCGGTGTCACATTCACGAGACGCGCGGGACACGTCACTGGAACGTAGAAATAGAGGGGCTGCAGAAGAATACAGAGATACGGTCTGCTACACAGAGAGTGAAACCACGACGAATGGGGTCTCCGTGGAAGACACGTCTACGGAACTCTTACAGAACTATGACAATCAAAATAAAAACCATTCCTACAGTGTGCAGGATCCACACAGTGACCAGGATAATAGTTCCTCGTAAATGATGTCCACGGAGGTTTTATCTCAATGAAACTTCGTCGTTTAGCACAAGTTCTCACCATGCATCATTTTAATCATAACGCCCCAGCACAAAGTGTGATTTCTGAGTATTAATGATGTGACAGTGACATATGGAGGGTGAAAAACTCATTGGGCAGCTGGACCTTTTTTTTTGTGTACATATATATATTGAATTGTAAATAATTAATTATTTATTATGCACTTTGTCTCGCTTAGCGAAAGGGTATTCTTTTCGGATTTTAATTGTAAAAATTGTTTATATTAGAGGACATTGTCTCTTATGCTTTAAATCTCTTGTTTATTTTTAAAATCACATAAATACTTTCCTGTTATCCTGGATTAATGTTTGTGATGTTATGCAAATAAAGTCCCGTGGTAAGTTAACGCTGAGTTCTGAGTACATGAGTGGGAGAACACCCTAATTTTATTCAAAATAAATGATATCGGCATCCTTTTAGCTACCCCGAGAACACATTTTGAAAAACATTGAATACATTACAAGATCCACAAACGGTCCATTTTAGATCCTTGATGTTTTGTTTTTTTTTGTTCATGTTCAGGTACCGAATAGGCCTATATTCGTGTGCGTTTTAGACATTCACACAAATAGTCGCTTCACAAGGTTTCACTTACTTGGGCTTTCATAAAATGTCATTTTTAATACTAAATCCATTAGTCGTAAATTATCAGTGACTAGAAGTGGGTTAAGGCTAACCAGAGTTACACTAAAGCGTCTTATCGGGCGTCTTCTTGATGACGCTGGAGTTGAAGCGACTGAAGGCAACCCAGGAGAGGTTTAAAATTTTCAAAATCGTCTGATTTCTGACGTTTGTTTTAACGTTAACGCGGGCAAATTAAAAGCGATAGGCCTATATACTTCGATTCACTTGTCATTAGGTTATATTGGCCCTTAAATATGGGTCAAATGACGGGGCCACAATGATAGCGTGACCCGCAATACTTTGTTCAATCCATGACAGATAAATAGATGTACGGCCCCCAAGTATCATGCTGATCTTTGGGTGACACAAATTTTATGCAGCGCACGAAAAGCAGAGAAAACCAACAGGTTTAATAGTACACCGAAATGAGACTGGCACTATACATTATGTATAATATGCAGGCTATTAGACTGAGGAATTAACTGAGGAGAAAGAGATACACGTTCCACAAGGTGATATTCAACTCATCTATATTTTGAATTCCTTGTTGTAAAACAGAGAGCATCTTGTTATTGAGTTCTTGCTACGGAGTTTCCGTGGATGTACAGATAGGCTGTTGTTTAATGCTGGTGCAGCTTTGGTTAACACATGGTCTAACCAGCTTATATCCCCGTGCTAGAAACATAGCAAAGTGATGCTGGTCCATGTAAAAGGTAAATATAGACTTATCTGTAATATTGTTGCTTATTCATATAATCATTGTATGCTTTGTGTAAACCTTGAACCCATCATACATAATAAGTTGTACACTTGGGTCTAAGGCACATGTAGTCCTTTTGCAATGGGTTTGATCTGTGCAGAACACGGGGTCTACCTTTATTGCATTAGGGCATCTTCCTGCACGCGCCCCCCCTTTTTTTTTGGGGGGGGGGGTGTACCACTTTCAAAGAAGTTCCCTGTGAGGCACGTGCCTTGTCCAACGTTATCTGACCAATAAGCTAGGCAGAGAGTGTTACTTTTAAAGAAAACTGAAAGATTATACTGGAAATGAAATGAAGGTATTTAATCTTATAGACATTTTAACATTCACAGTAGGAATACGGTATTAGCCTGCCAGAGAGGGAGACATTGAAAATTATGCAGACTTATATATTGATACGTGCATTAGGGTTGGGTATTCTCTCTCAGAGAAGGATGTATATGAAAAAAAATTGCTTCCAAAACCCAAAGGATAATGATTGATATAATCACTCAGCTTATGGAGTTTTTAAAACTCTTCCAAGCAACATTAGACTTTGAATTTTTAGAGGAAGAAAACGATTTTTAAAAAGCTTTTATCCAACTGTCACATCTCTTTTCAACAGTAGAACATATTATTTAAATCGAAGACCTTCAATTTGTTTTTACATTTCTAGCCAGTTTTTACCTTTTCACCTTTTATTGAACCTGAGATGGTGACATTATTTCCGATTTATACGTATTTTATAATAAATATACAACAGCTGAATAAACCTTTATAATCATGTGTATGTAGCTCATTGATCAGGCAACATTCATGAAGAATAAATATTTTTTTCATTTTTGATCATTTTATTATTTAGAAGCTGTCTCAGAGATGAGTTCGCATGCCCCCCAAAATGTCGCAAATATGTCGTCCTCCATACAAGCAGTTACATTACAGAGACCAGTTTTTACAGGTGAGAGGTTTTCACCGTCGCTTGGTTTTAATTGTTTTTAATACCTTGGGATATTCATGTCAATATGAATCAGTGCATGAAGATATACAGCTAGTATAAATCATTTAGCACATCATTGAAACTGTATTTAAAAAAAGTGGTTATCGTGGTAATATTCCAACATCAACTACATGTATGCATGTCAAATAATGCTGTGTAGCTTAAACTCACTTCGTGAATGTATTTTTTTTTTGTTATATACAAAACTGTCATTCATTGTAAGCTGTACTACAGTGGCAGATTTAGAGGGGGGTCAGGGGGCCGGGGGTCGCCTTGGCATCCACGGACCCCCTTCAAATAATTCTGGACCCGCCCCTGTACTATGTATACATTTATATTTTATCACGCATCAAACCAGGCCCATTGCCAGCGATTTTAAAAGAAATGTTCTTTTTCTGAAAAAGTGGACCTTTTACTATGAAACCCACGTGAACGTAGATAAAATTTTACCGAGAGGGGACCTTTTCCCAGCAAAAAAGGGGGTTCTTTCGCACTCCGACCCCCCCCCCCACCCCCCACCCCCTCTGCAAGCTAAACAATTTTCATGAACATTGTACTTGCTTGCAGCCGCGTTTGTAACGTCATTAATTTAGGAGAAAATTACATTTCCTGAACATGCTGCAGCTTGTATATGGATAGCTACTTATAGCGCTCAGCCCGGATAGATTGCATCTCATCGAAATGAAAGCACGATTAAAAAAATTGCTTTTAAATGCACTGAGTTTGTGTGAAAGGAAGGCTTTTATGCTGACTTGATGTGATGGTGGTTGCATACTGTGATCGCGGTCCCCTTTTTAAAAACAAATGTCGGGGAAATAAAAAGAGTGGTAATAATATCAACGAAATTAAAACAAAAATGTACGTGTAATAATGCTTAAAATGATGTGGATCATCTCTTCTTCGTTTAAAGAACAATAACGGCCTCACTCAGATGGCCCACGGTACATGTGGTAGAGAGTACATTCGCCAGTGGTCGGTAGATACAATAATGCAGTCGCACAGAGACGCCAGTTTAGATCTTGAACATTTGTTTGCCTTTATTGAGCACTTCCAAATATCTGCTCTTTTTTTTTCAGGTGATTGTAGGGATTTTTTTCTTCACATGTGCCCCACATGGACTTCGAGTGGAGACTGCCAAGCCAAGTTACGGTTTATGCTTGAGTTTTGCCCAAAATCTTGCGAGTTCTGTATTCCCAGTTTTGCAGGTGAGTAAGAAGCTCTTTATTGCATTTAAATATTATTTTCTTGCATAACACGGGTTCTGAATAATAAGAAGAGAAGGCATGATGATATGATTTGAGGATAATTCAAAGGTGTATGTCTAATGTCGAGTCAAACCGAAAATTAGATCACACTAGAGCAAGAGGTCTTTTTGATGTGCATTGCGTATTATCGACATTTATAATAACATGAAATTTTATTTCAAACTTTTTTACCTACATTTGGTGATCTTCCCCTTGTAGATATCTACCTAGAAGACTGGAAGAGTTTGATGGTATTGGTGACTTTGTTAGCCATCTTGCTCCTCGGAACTACCGTGTTAATCATATATTCCATCAAGTCTTCCAAATGGTAACTATGCAATTTTTAAACTGAAATTAATTCTTAATTAAAAGAAAATTAAATTGGTTTTTATGTAAATACATTAAAAACAAAATTGAAACTCCGTTGCTATCTAAGTAAAACCCTTATAGCAAAACCCTTATTCCAGTAATTGCTAGTGTTAAATGCAAGTTGGTGAAAATTGGTTACGGCATCATGTATTATAAACCAAGTGAAAAACAAGTAAATACAATGCACGTAAAATAATCGTAACTTTGTCGAAGGAATATGGATTACTTGAACTGTGCATGGAAAGATGCGATGGAAGTTTGAACACGATATCAATGAATAGCAGTTGAACACATGTTAAAGTCAACTCATTAAAGTGAATATCTTAATTCATCTAGTTGTGGTTTGAAAAATGGCATAATTTTCAATGTAAGACAAATACCAATTTAAAAAAGTCATTTCCCATTGATTTAAATGAGCACTAGTGCGACACGCAGGCTATTTTTGTCCTTTGCCCAAGTTCTCATATAGGCCTATATACTGTAGAATGTTCGATAATCCCCTATTTTCATACACATATGATATCTAATCTATGTAAATATCTCTTAACATACACGCAACCATACACTTATCCACATACACCAAAAAGAGATCCTTACGATCTACTTTGATATCTCCTCTGAAACTTTCATCAAAAATTTGTAAACAACTGTTTTATCAGTTGATATCTTGTCCAGTAAAACAAACTGTCAAATGGACGCTGATGAAAACATTCGTTGGCAAAGTTAATTAAGTAGGCTAAAGAGATGATGTATTCATCGTGTTGTTGTTCATTTATGTTATGAACTATTTATGACTCGCTGGAGGATACTTGAAGCATGATCCGCACGTGATATCAAAACATTTTGTATTATGACAAATGTGGCGGATTTGTATTAACGATAGCTTCTCCTTGAACCTTTTCAGTTTATTCAAAAAGATGGTATGGAAGATATTGGATCTGGGAAGATCGCCACGGATAATTGAAAAAACCTGAAAATACCATATATGCAGTATATGCACTATTTTAATGCCTGTGATTTGTTTATATTTAAAATAATATTTGTCAGGGGTTATAATAATTGTGTAGATATTGGTGGTATTCACAAACCTTTTTTAATTACTAATAAATATTATTGATGCAAGAAAACAATACGTTGTACATTCGTTCTTATGGTTTATTGAGGCACTGGAATTTAACCTGTCATATGTTTGAGAATTGTAGTATTTTTGGATAATCCTTTGTCGATTGCAATTGTTAAAATTGATTAATATCATAAATATATTATGCTTATTACCATCCATAAAAGGTCGAAATGGAATGTTTTTTGATATTATTATTGCAAAATACGTTATGGGTTTTAATATACAACTTTTTATTATATAAACTCATCACCTATCAACAAGGTCTCATGTTTTTAATTAATCCAGTTGCAGAGTGTTAGAGTCTGTCATTCTACAAAAAGTGCCTTAGTTGTATTTTTATCGAATTGTTTACAATCAAAATAAAATATTAAGTTAATAAAATCGCTCAGTGGAGCATGGACTCGCAAAATATATAATGAAGTAATTCAACCATGAATTGAGGAAAACGGGAATATTTGGGAAGGGGGCGGTCTTTGCAGGGATGGAGAATTCCCCCCCCCCCCCTCCACACACACACACAAACACACACAAACACCTTCATGGTATTGTTATGCATGTATGATGTACTACCACTGGAGTTTACTATCATGCATGCATACTGTTACCTATTTCAAATAAGTTGACACGAAGGCATTTTTTAGCCGTCTGTAATCGTTCATTCATTGCCTTAAATTACATGGCTAGGGACTTAGAGTCCAATTTGTTCCCATTTGGTCGGTGTCTTTGAGGCATTCATGCAGCCTCTATCAGAAACCTTAATAATTTAAAAACTTCATGATTTTTTACATATAAACAATAAACACGATCCTTTTGAAAATCAAATCAGTTCATCCTGCGTCTGTTATCTATCTACAAAATAACGTGAAACAATAACCTCGGACAGAGATTTACCACAAACAAACAAACTCACAACCAAGCACACTAATAAACTTGCGAATTTTTTGTGCAAGTATTAAGCTTCAGAGACCGAAGGTATAATAGGCCCGGTATAACGGCATATCAATGTATCTCCCGGCAATTATTCACCGCACGCATTGCTGGGGGCAGCGCCTGGTTTGGCACCTCCTGCCGCAGTTATCAACAGTTTAGTACGGACGACAGAGGAGGCGTTCTTCCATGGGGTTTTGTCTCGAGAGAATGGATTCCTCTTAACATCAGCAACGGATGATGTATCCTTTGAGGCAGATTTTGCTGCTAACCATCACCACCGCCGCCTCCAAACAGTCAGCCATTGAAGGTAGGTTTACTCTGATTGAAAAATTGTTCGCCATATAAAAGGACAAAATGTTGTGATTCGATCTCATAAATTACTTCATGCATATGTAGGCCTATGTATTTGAGTAAAATGTTACCAATGACACGTTGCAGCGAATCAATCTCGAAGACTGCCGGAAATAACTACATTTTACATTTTTCAAGTATATATTCCATTTGCGACAGCATTTCTTGATGATTTGAAATGACAAAATATTCTCTTCGGGCTGTTATGACCTGTAGACATTTAGGCCGCCTACTGTCACACAGATCAAGTGATAGCCTATTTCTTTATAGCTGAGTTGGTTTTTTTTTCAGTATTAGGGCCAAACCAGGCAATCGCTTGCTTCAACACGGCTGGACTTCAAACAGTGGACATTCGCTGTCCTGTTGGGTATGAAATCGAAATCCTTGCCAACTCTGCCCAATATGGTGTCAGCCATTTTGGCGTCTGCTTCCAGACTGTCACCGATTGCATTGCGCCTGCGCCGACCCAGAACCTTTGTTGCCACAGACAGTTATGTTCCTATTACATTCAGCAGTGGGGGAGAGTGGCTAACTGTGGAAATGCCAGCACCTACTACCAGGCTCGTTATTACTGTGTAAGAGGTAAGATATTGTTTTTATATTGTTTTATATATAATAAATATACAGAGCATCCCACCAATTTCATTCAGCGGGAATAGAACTACAGGTAGGCCCCCTCAAGTAAGGCCTACCACCCTTACCAACCGTAAACGTATGACGCAAAACAAAGTTATAGTATTCATGCAAACTTTCAGGTTGATTTCCCCAATACAATCGATTTTCATTCTTTCTGTTCCACAGGGCGTCCGGCGTCATGTGGGGGAACATTGGCTGGTAGTGAAAGCGAAAGTATTCGTAGGAATCGTAGCGCAGCCTACCGCACTATTCTCTTTAAACGGCCCAGGAGACCACCTGTCTCAAGTAGTACCGCAGAGGTGCCAAATGTTACGTACGCAACCAACGTTTCATCAGACTCCATTACAGATTTAAAAATGCCATCAAGTACAACAACTTCGATTGAAACAACCACCGCGTTTTCGGTCACTTCCTCGCCCTCAGAGCTCCCAGGGCTCCAAACAACCATGGCGACACTGCTGACGAAGGAACCTATCTCGCATGTCAACCGCGCCAACTTGGGCACTCCAGCATCTGAAATACCAGCATCAGCTACCCCTGTTAGCAAAGACCCCAAGATGCAATACCAAGACAATGAAGCCATCAACAGGAGTAATTCACACGCCGTTAAAAACACAACAGTAACGCCTTTGGTTATGCAAACGAACATATCTCGAGATTCATATTTTTTAATGACTTCGGCACCAACGTTGCTTACAACGAATTCCTTGACTACGAGGACCACCAAGTCACTACACTATGACCATTCAACCACAACAGAAATGGGAGAAACACCATCTCCTACTCCCCTGACTGCTACTACCATTAAAACCACCACAGCTTCTCTCCCCTCATCATTGCCCACTTTTCCCGCCAAAATAAAAGGAAACGAATCCTCCAAAAAGAAGGTCACAAAAATGTTAACTACAACAACTACAACACATTTCTTAGAAAATGCTCAAAAAACGACACCTGAACCAGAACACGCCAAAACTTTACAAAGGATGGCGTCGGTGACAACAACGAGTGATACGATGATTCCTGTCAGTTGGAAACCAGCAAAAGTTACCGTTCCAACCAAGCTTCAAACCCCCTCCACCACAAGGAGCGCAGATGCAAAAGTCCCATTTGAGGAATTTGGGGCCAAACCGGAAATTAACCCCCCAAATCCCAAGGCCACGAAAACAAATCATACAATTTCGCAAGAAAACACAAAAACGAGGCCAACGGCTTATAATTGGACAACACGACTCACCAGCTCCAGTGCTCCACTGGCCATTACTGGACAAGATTCCAAAGAAAATATGTCTGTTGCACAAGTAGATACCACTAAAATTGAAAACCACAGAACGCTAGAAGACAGCCTGAACCCTGTGTTGGGGACGGGCACCGTTCAGGATAAAGAAAAACCTGGTGGTATGACAAGTGAGTTCTTTAAAATTTCTTGCAATCTTCCTGAATATTTTCAACTGCCATTATAGTTTTTTGAGCACAAATATGTCTTAAGCAATGTATGCACGATAATATTCAATGTACACGTTGCGTTCCTGCGCTGACAAAACTGTCATTTATCATTTTGAATGTTACATATTTTGCAGCCACTATAATTTCTTCGGTGGCGTCCATGTTAGTCCTCGTCATCCTGCTTGTTATCATTGTCTACATTTGTAGAAAGAGGTGAGTCATCATTCTAAAATGCTAAAGAATAGCAGTGCTCTTTCCAAATCATTCATGGTTGTCATAATAAAACATTTTCTTTTGTTTAGAAGTTCTTCCCGTTGTTCTTTCTTCAAATTAGTAGCTATTTAGCATCTACTGTTTATCATACGCCACTACCACATTAATTTTCCAGGAGGGTACCCAAAGACATCATCCAGTTTTACAACGCTGAAGACGACGACCACGTGCCCACCTATCAGAAGCCGTTCTACGACCTAGAGCTTGACGTGAAGTCCACCCAGAGCAACTGTTTGGGCGTCACCATTGGCTTCGAGGAGTGCTCAGACGACAATAGCACAGGCACAGGGACGCTTAAGAGCACGTGCACTACAACAATCAAGAGGAGCCGCCCTAGCAGCCAACGCAGTTCTCTTAAGAAGAAGCATGTATCTTTCTCAGATGATGGATTATCTAAAGAGTTTGCTGTGTATCACAACGGTGCATATTGTGGGATAGAAACTTTTGATGATGAAAAAGCTGTAGCCCTGGACGATTTACCTGCAAACGTCTATGATGACGTTGCCTCGGTGGATGCTTTGAACGATGTTCTACCCTGCGATATCATCGTACCTCCTCCCAAACCGTTCCGAGAGAGTTACAAATTTGATGACGTAATTTCCGAGTTTGTGAACGCGCAAATCTTGCGCCACGATGCACAAGCTGTGCCTGGTACCTCTTCTCCTCTGAGTTTAAGTCCAAGTAACGACTGCTTTGAAATGTCAGAGATGACAATGCGTGCCGACAGAAGACTCCCTTCCGACATTCTTCCCGACGTTCTTTCCATGCATACACAACGAGACTGCCACTCTCCCTCTCAACAGCGCATCCGCCATAGACAGAATTCTGTAAGCTTGTCGTCTGCCTCCCAGCCATTCTTTGACGTCATGGAACCGACTGCGTTTGGCACTGAACACATTCCAGAGCCTTCGGTCGATGTCAGATATCAGTTTCCAAGGAAGAGATATCCAGAACTGGTCACAAGTTTTCAGTCCAACGGCTGGACTAAGACCCAAAGTGTTGATGATTTACTGGGATCTTATGGGGATCCGTTCCAGCACAACGCTGCCCCCCTGCGGCGTTCCACCAGCTTGTACTCCGGATCAGACCTCTACGATAATACCAGTCTGACGGGCTATTTGCGAGCCCAGGCGAGCCAAGAGATGGAAAAAGAGCTTGAGATGATAGATAATGATATTCACTACATGTTCAATTCTGTGGACAGGAGAAAACGCTCCAAGAAACCACGGCGACTCAGCCACCTGGACCTCTAAGGATACCTGCAAAGTGTTTTCGAAGGTGAATACTTAATGGATGTTAAATAAATAAATAAAAATGAAAAATAGAATAAAAATCAACAGTAATTATATGCTACCTGAAAATGAGACGGTGCTTACCAAGTGGATACCCAGCACCAGTTCCTATATCGTCTTTTACTCTATAGTCACTGTGGGGCTGGGTTTGTACATTCAGTTTACAAGGTTTTGATCAAACGGACCAGAACATTCACAACAGTCACCGGAAGGAAGCTTATTTGTTTTGCGCCTTTATGGGTCCTAGTTTGTATCATTCAAACCTTAGGCAAATTACAAACAAAAACGTGACTGAATTTTTAGTGAGAAGAATTAACACGCCATTCTGCGCATCACAATTCTGAGACATTAGATTAAAACCATCTTACATTACAATTAAGTTTTAAAAAACTTGCAGCATTTCACTGTTTCGGATTCTTTTACTGAAAACATTATATACCGGGTAATACGACTTTATGAAATAAAAGGTGATGTAATACAATGTGTGCGTTTGTGATGAACTTGCTTTTATCCCATGATTTCTTTTTATCAAACAGCAAATTAAAATCAATTAAATTTCAAGCATGATCCACTTTTCTTTTAATCTAATCAGAAAATTGAAAATTTGGCCAAAGTAGGCTATTTCCTCTTCAATGACTCTTCGTTATCATCCATATCCAAAAACACCAATAGCACTAGGCAATAAATGCAGGTTAAGTGTCCGCAATTGATGACGCAGCCTGCCGCTCTGATTTCCAGAGATTTTAGCCGCCAGCACTTAAAACATACATCGTTAATTCCCTCAGGATTAATTCACCTCATTGCCTGTAGGTGGTGTGCATCACACGGTTCACGAATTGCCAGTTTTACCTTGTATCTATGAGTACTGACCCTTAAAGTGCGACGTCTTAGAGTCATGTACTTGAGAAGCTCCCAGACAAAAAGAAAAAAACAAGAAAGAAATGACCACTACTTTTTTCTCCGATGACTCTTATTCTGTTATTGCCTGAAACAATTCTTTCTGTCATAAAGAAGGCAACACCTTGCATATCACCAGAATCTATAAATCGTGAGAAAATTTCCTCCTCTGACATAGTTAATTTGCTCAGCAAGAACTTCTCCATGCGAAATGTATCATATTTTAACTTGTTGAAACAAACTTAGGTACCTTCGTCAGAAATGAATCTAGGAATTTTGATACTGGGAGGATTATCATTTGTTATACCAGGCTGCGTCTTTCAAGAAGGTATGGATATACATTTTCATCTTTGTTTTCGTACTCAATACCTCTTCATCAAAAAGTCATGCGTATGATTTAAAATATTTTTGAAAATGCCTTTATGGTATAATTAGTTCAAGTTTATATCAGACTTCTCATCCCAGAAGTGCACACTGTGTAGTCACCATGTTTCTCACATAATTTGTCTCGTGCTGAATGATACTCGTAATTTTTTTATAATGCGTTTTGTGGACGCTTGAATGAGGTCTGGGCAGAGTTATTGACGATCGGCGATCCGCATTAACGAGGCTCGGATATTGAATAAGCGTTCTGATAAAGCTTCTGAAGCGAAAAAGGGGAAACGTGTGAAAGTTTTTGTTCTTAAACTATCTTAATTTGACCAGATGCCACGTTTTCACTTTGCACAACACGAAAGCCATTCGCTGTTGTTCTGGACACAGCTGGGAGTTAGGAACATAATAATCAACCAGACATATACTGATATATGCTATATATCTGAATGTTCAACCGCAGAGCATTACGTCAACACTTTATTGTATTTGAAGTCCACGGGGATTGCGGGGTTTTAATTTATTTAATGCCGATTTGATTTGAAACTAGTTGATTATACTGTGACATAATTTGACTCACTGCATCTTTACAAAATTCCCCCCTGGATACTTACACGGGAATTCCTGCTTACCTGTTTCTCCGTTTTAGAGCATGTCTGCACTCTTACTTATTTTCTCAGTTACCTTACTAGCACATGATATAGGCCTATATTCATGTAAATGACGAAGACAAAAAATTCATATAATAAGTAATGCATAAATACTGAACAGTAATTAAAAAATTAAAAGTTAATCGATTTGAATACTGTATGTCCCAGTGTGGCGGAACTAGAATCCTGCTTAAGCAGCTAGGTCTCCATGTTTAGACTGTTCTTATTTTATTTTTAAATGAAAATTACTTTGATAAGAGGGTGCGAAAATTCATTTATCAAAAGCTATGATTTGTTGAGTTGTTGTCGATTTCTGCAATATATGACAAGTATTAAAAATCAGGAAGCAGGCTTATAGTTTTATTGAAGAACATCTAAGACCGACTAGACACGGTCGTGCATTCCTCAAGGACCTGAAAATAATAATAATGATGATGATAAATAGAATTAACTTAGAAAACTGTAATAATATAAAGTTTCGACATACTTCTCTACGACTATTTTAATGGTTATATTAGCTTTTGTAAATCAGGTGCTTAGATTACTAAATAAAAGTCAGCCCCCTTTCCAAATCGAGCTGACTTAATTATTTCTTCGCTGAGTGGCAGATTTGCACCATGAAAAGTATCTATGCATATATATTTTCCTTCATTGATACTAGTACATTTCGTACAATGGCTATGATCTTACAGTCTAATACTTGATATATCTAGAGGCATACAAGTAGTTAACGCTGTTCAAATGTGCGTCTGTTTGGTACAAAAATAATACTGGGAGAAATTAAAAGGAGTCGGTGCTCGCTCTCTCTCTCTCTCTCTCTCTCTCTCGTGACAAGAAATTAAACTCCCGGTAAAGTTTATACTTGGTATCATTACAGTATCATTAAGGGATTCTTGCATACAGCTCTACTTTCAAATAATTGATGACTGTTTGTAATCTGGGAAGACGGCCCGGCTTGATACCGACACGTGCGCTATGTTTTGTTTTAATTGGGTCATGGTAATATTAGCGTCACTGATTGGTCTAGAAGTTAGTTTGACCTAGTTGAAGTGGAGGTGCTCTGTGGGAAGATGTAAGCTGTAAGTTGCATGTTGTGTTGCAGGTAAAATGCTTTATTGTTTTATAAAAGTCACTCTTTTTTTCATATAGTTTGTAAGATATTAATTCAAACGATGAACCTTACAGGATCTCACGCATTGCAAAGTTTCGTGAGTTTTTAGGGTTCCTCGACTTAAGCATGGGGCTACATTCCAATTTTCCATTTCACAAATTTAATTGTCTATGAAAATGAACAAGCTTAAACCTGGAAAGCGCAAATAATCATAATCAAGTGCTTTTATACTGTTTTGTTTAATTACCAAAGTGCAAGATTACACTTGTGAAAGGCCAGGGCAACTTCATTCTTGAACCCAATGATATTTGCCCCAGTACCTGTACATATGCTACTGCTTGGGTAAGTATCCTAAGTATTTAATGCTGTAACCAAGCATGTAAGGCCAAAAACTGAAGCAAGGACCCATCATGTTACATTTACTGGTATGATGGGTCCAAGCTTCCGTGGGGGCGTCTCGATAGTCCGAAGGTTCATTGGTCCAAAGGTTCATGGTCCGAAAAGTGAAAAAAACATTTTCATCGATTTTTTAATCAAGGGTTCATTGGTCCGAAGGTTCTATAGTGAACATTCGGACCAATGAACCTTTGGACTATTGAACCTTCGGACTATCGCTACGGCCCCGCTTCAGTGAGACGTCCATTGTGATAAGAAATGCAGGATTTTTTTCAGAACCATCTCAAAAAAGACTTTATAAATGTGTCTTTTTTTTTCTTCAGTGAAAGTGCTCGACAGTTGTCCAAACACTCGTGTTACTTTCCAATGCCCTGGTGGTAATAAGATCAACATAATCAAGGAACAGTATGGCCACAACCCCTCTGGTGGCAGGTGTGGGGCACCAGGTCCTCTGGACTGTAAGATTGATGCTAAGGTAATGAAGCTGATACAATAACAAGATTACAAAAATTGTAAGAATCTATACATACCTCTCTAGAACACTTTTCTATTTTACTTGTATCTTGCAAAATTTGACAAAACTTTGATAACATTCCAAAGCGAGTTATTTTTTAAAGTTTATTTCAAGATTTTTTGTTGGAAAGTTATTTATCTCCAGTTGATTTTACCTAGGATTCATTATGATGCCAAATCCTAGGTTTTACATACCCCGGTATGTAATATTAATTTTGCTTCTTGACAGGTCATCATACAGCGCTGCCATGGTCGGACCAGCTGTAACTCCTATGCCACCACTGGCCAGTTGACAGCTGCTCAGTGTGCGGATGTGGGATATAATTTAGATGTTCTTATCAACTATGTGCACATTGAATATACCTGTCTACCCGAAGTCAGTAAGTGCTCTTTATTCACAGTTTAATATGTCTCACAAAATTCTGTCATGAAACCCAGGATGCTAAAATAACACCATTAATTGGAACAGGGAACCATCCCTTATTATACGTCACAGATTAAAATTCCTGGCAAATCAATTTGGTCATCTTTTAACTAGTTTTGAACCTGCAGTGTGTAATACTGCATCCTTAGCAAGGAATGAAACAACTGAATGAATCTTTTTTCAATTTGATTAATCTACATAATTTTTTTTTCAGGGGCAAGGTTGGCTTTGAAAGCGGACTGCAATCCAGGCATCGACAGATGCGCTGACTACTTCGCTCTCTGTGATGCGCAAACACGATCATGCCAATGTGAGGAGGCATACTATGATAAAGGTGGTGCTTGTGGTACGTTGACTGATAGTAAGGCGTGAAAGATGGAATGTTAAAATTGATCTAAACTAAATTATAAGTAAATATATTTATAGATGTTTAATGAGTTGGATCAGATGAAATTTTATATTCCCATAATTTCTTAAGATTTATGCAAACTTTTGTTGATAAAATGAATGCTAATACATTTCAAGTTAGGTTGCTAATATAAACAAAATGCTTTTTCTAAAAACTAATTCATTTAGTTTGAATAATTCAGTGAATAAC